CTGGGTCTGGCCTGTACACACTTCACGTTGAGTCTGCACAGTTGGCTGCGTCCGGTCAGGGTAGCTGCGTCTTGCTCGTGTCAGTTACTCACGCACCCGTCCCTCCTCTGGCACCATCGTCTTGGTCACCCCTCCCTGCAGCGTCTGCATCGCATGTGCTCACGTCTCCTTGTCTCAGACCTCCCGAGGTCCCTGCCCCTGCTCCCGCAGTCGCTTGCGCCGCCGTGCACTCCCTGTGTCGAGGGGCGGCAGCGCGCCGCTCCTCATTCCTCCTCGTTCCCTCCGACCACTGCTCCTCTGCAGACCCTGCACATGGACGTATGGGGCCCTGTCCCTGTCCCTGGGCCGGGTTGGGAGCACTACTTCCTGCTGGTCGTCGACGACTACACGCGCTACAGCATGGTGTTTCCCTTGCAGTGCAAGGGCGACGTCTCTCTTGTTCTGATCCCTTGGATCCGCCCTGTTCGTTGCCAGCTGAGCGCACGGTTCTGTCAGGACCTCCCGGTACTCCGTCTGCACTCTGACCGTGGAGGTGAGTTTTCCTCCGGTCTCCTTGGGGACTTCTGTCGTGAGGAGGGCATCACCCAGTCGTTCACGCTTCCGGCTTCTCCACAGCATAATGGGATCGCTGAGCGCTGCATTGGCTTGGTCATGGAGGTTGCTCGCACCTCCATGATCCATGCGGCTTCTCCCCATTTTTTGTGGTCGTTTGCGGTCCGATACGCCGCGCATCAGCTCAACCTCTAGCCTCGTGTCTTCGAGCCTGAGAACTCGCCTACAATGCGTTGGACGGGGGAGGTTGGCGATGCGTCGGTGTTTCAAGTCTGGGGTTCGCTTGCCCTTGTCTGCGATACGACTGGGCAAGCTCTCTTCTCGCATCGTTCGCTGCGTCTTCCTTGGCTTTCCTACCGACGCGCCTGGCTGGCAGTTCTACCACCCAGCCACGCGTCGTGTCCTGTCCTCCCAGGACGTCACCTTTGACTAGTCGGTTTGCTACTACCGTCTCCCCTCGCGTCCTGCTCCCTCAGGTGTGTCTCAGGTCATACCACCCCCCTTGGTTGAGCCTTTGGAGGTCTCCTCTGGCCCAGCTGAGGGGGGTGACATTGCTGCTAACAACAATGCGGCCTCTCGCCGCTCCCCGCGCTTGGAGACCCCTCCTGGCTTTCCGCCTCGACCGTCTTCGCCGCCTCTGCAGCCTGTCGCTGTAGACTCCGGTGATGCTGGAGGTGGTGCCACTGGAGGTGTGGGCTCTGAGGGTACTGACGCTGGAGGTGCTGGTTCTCGGGGTGCTGAGCCTAGGAGTGCTGAGCCTGGAGGTGCTGAGCCTGGGGGTGGGCAGCCGCTGCCGTCGCGTCCGCCGGAGACTCTCTCGCCGCGGCAGTTGCGTTAGTGGGCAGTCGGACGCCGTGCTGACTCTGGGGGTGCTGGTTCTGGGGGTAGACAGCCGATGTCGTCGCGCCCACGGGAGACTCTCTTGCCACAGCAGCTGCGTGAGTGGGTCGTTGGACGCCGTCCTGACTCTGGCGGTGCTGGTTCTGGGGGTGCTGCGCCTGGGAGTGCTGACTCTGAGGGTGCTGAGCGTGGGGTGCTGACACTAGAGGTACTGGAGCAGGAGGTGCTGGGGGTTCTGGTGCTAGCGGTACTGGAGCTGGAGGTACTGGAGCTGGAGGTACTGGAGATGGAGGTACTGGGGCTGGAGGTACTAGAGCTGGAGAAACTCGAGCTGGAGGTACAGGAGGTGACGGCACTCGAGCTGGAGGTACTGGAGGCTTAAGTGCTGGGGTTGCTGCGTAGCCTGTGCAGCGGCGACCGTTTTTCTTGCCGCAGCCGCAGTCGTCGCTGCCACCACCCGGCTCGGCGCTTCGTCAGGTTCTCAGTCTTCCGTCTTCCACTGACCTTACTCCTTTCCTACTGTGTCCACCGCCTGACCCGTCTCAGCCACAGTTACTGCCTGACTCCCCTCTGCCTGCTCCTCCTTACACTGAGCAGTCAGACTCCCTGACAGAGCGTCGTGAGCCTGCGTCTTGTCCTGCCTCGCTTGTTCGTGCTATTCGTCGTGCTCGTCGTGTTCGTCCTCTGCCTGTCCCTGGCACGCACACTATGACACATCGTCCTTCCTCTGTTCCACAGCGTGTTGCCTTGTCGTCTCCTCCTGCATCCTCTCTTCCTGACGTTCCGGACCCAGAGTCTGACCTTGCTCATGCTGCAAGTCCGACTGTCAATCGTTGTCTGGCCACACTTGTCAATGACCCTACTTTTAAGTCTACCGCTGCGTTTGCCTTAGTCACTGAGCTTGTTGACTTTGCTGCTACCTGTCGTCTTGACTATTTCGCGAGTCTTGTTACTGAGTCTGAGTGTGACTGTCCTCCATCCGTTGGAAGTGAGCTTGCCCTTGGCAGTGACGTCCTTGAGGACCGGCAGTTTGAGCTGGAGTGCCTTGCGGCTGCTGTACCTCATCTCGCTGCCATGCTACTTGCCCCTGAGGGAGACCCGGATACACTGGACGTCCCGACCCCACGCTCTTACGCAGAGGTGTCAGTACTCCTCTCAGTGCCAGACAACCATGGACGCAGAGATGGCATCCTGGAAGTTCACAGGCACCTACGTCGAGCATAGTCGATGGCATGCGGATTTTCAGGGTGAAGCGGCAGCCGGGTTCTCTGTCTGTCTTCAAGGCGCGTTACGTTGCACGAGGCTTCAGTCAGCGACAGAGGGTCTACTTCTTCCAGACCTTCTTCCCCAACCCGAAGATGACTACTCTTCGGGTGTTGCTGCACGTTGCAGCACAGCGTGACTACGAGCTGCACTCCCTCGACTTCTCCACAGCTTTCTTGCAGGGCAGCCTTCATGAGGAGATCTGGCTGCGCCGTCCACCTGGCTTCATTGGGTCGTTTCCTTAGGGTACCCAGTGGAGCCTCCGGCGGCCAGTCTACGGTCTCCGCCAGGCGCCTCGCGAGTGGCACGACACACTGAGAACGACACATGCGGCTCTTGGGTTTGCTCCTTCGACTGCTGACCCGTCGCTGTTTCTGCGCACCGACCCTTCTCTGCCGCCGTTCTACATCCACGTGTACGTTGACGACTTGGTCTTTGCTACTGCTGACACTGAGGCACTGGCCCTTGTGAAGGCGGAGCTGCAGAAGAGACACACTTGCACTGACCTGGGTGAGCTGCGCAGCTATCTTGGCCTGCATATCACCCAGGATAGAGCAAGGCGCACCATCACTCTGACTCAGTCACACATGGTGCAGCAGGTCCTGACGCGCTTCCGCTTTCGGTTCTCCTCGCAAGCCACTCCTCTGCCTACAGGCCACTCGCTCTCAGCTCCACCTTCAGACGAGTCCGTAGAGCCGAGTGGTCAGTATCCAGAGCTTGTGGGCTGCCTCATTTACCTGATGACCTGTACTCGACCTGACCTCGCGTACCCTCTCAGCATCCTGGTGCGCTTCGTTGCGCCCGGGAAGCACCGCCCTGAGCACTGGCGGGCTGCGCAGAGGGTACTGCGTTACTTGTGTAGTACATCGGGCATGGGGCTTGTGCTTGGAGGACGGGGTCGAGTTGTGCTCACTGGGCACTCTGACGCTTCTTGGGCCAACGACCAGGAGACTCAGCGGTCTTGACAGGGTTACACTTTCAGTCTTGGCACTGGTTCTGTCTCCTGGAGGTCCACCCGCTCGTCTTTTGTATTTAGTTCCAGCTGTGAGGCAGAGATCTATGCTGGGGCTATGGCTGCACTGGAGCTACGCTGGCTGACCTACTTGCTGACTGACTTGGGTGAGCGGCCTCGTTCTCCTCCGGTTCTGTACGTCGACAACAAGGCTATGATTGCCTTGTGTCAGGAGCAGAGAATGGAGCACAGAACGAACCACATTGCTCTTCGTTACTTCCTCGCTCGAGAATTGCAGCAGTGTGGTCAGCTCCGCCTTGCTTACGTGGCCTCACAGGCCAACACTGCTGATATCTTCACCAATGCCTTCGGGTCTGGTGATCATCAGCGTTTCTGCACTTCTCTTGGGCTTGTGCCCACTTTGCCTCACTTGCTTGTTTCTTGATCTAGCCTTGTCCTTGTTGTACACTGCTATATATCTGTATACCTGCATGTTTTCACTTGTTAGGTTGTGATCAGTGTACTGCCATTGCTATAATAACTCTTCGTGTGAAGTGGCCTTGTGGCCGCTTGCTTGTGCTCGGACTGTGTGGTGATCTTGAGATCCACCCTGAGCTTTGCTCTGTTGCTTCTCTTGACATGTCTTATGACCATTGCTTGCTCTGGCTATCCCCCACCTCGACTATGGGGGTGTGTCAAAACATATGTAGTTGTTGTCTAGGCTGTAGTGGGGTAGCCCATAGAGGGTATAATATAATATAACCCATTAGGGTTACAGGTGATGCTCGTTTGAGTAGACAACTGTAGCCTTGTGAAGGGGGCTTTTAAGTGATTCTGTGCATTTCGCAAGCTTCGTCAACGTCGCAGCTAGCAAAAAAAATAAAATTCTCAAATGTTACATGTTGACAGTTGACGCCGGTCTCTTCGTCACTACGGTATTCATTACGATTGGTTCATCATCACTGCAACTTGATCGAGGGGCTTATAAACTGGGTGCAACTGGCTGGCCCCAAAAACACGCAGGCTGCAGACTTTCTGCCAAGGCCAGGGAAAATTCGCGCGCAGCAGTTGAGCAACATGTGTGGTACTTGTACTCCCCATTGCTGTTAGTCAATCATTCCGCTGTACTCTCTTTCTTACCGTAACAATGATGTTTTCTGAGCCCACTAGCTAAAGTACACACGATACTGACTGATGTTTTACTGGGCGAAACTCCTTTATTGGATATTCATATCTTCATATACTAAACAGAAACGCACACATCATTAGACTCAACAAACGAAAATAATGAAGACTAGCAATTAATCAGCACTGCAAAGTACAGTAAGCTCCAGTCACCACGGTTACAGGAACAGGGGTACCGGCCACTTCAGGTATCAAAGCGAGTGTAGACTTATGAAGGGGCGCCGAGGAAGGCAGCAAGGCGCAGAAGGTCGCTGAACACACCCCCGGCAGTGACCTCAGCGCCGGCACCAGGGCCGCGCACAATGAGGGGCTGCACGTTGTAGCGGTAGGTGACGAAGGAGATGATGTTGTCTGAGCCCACTAGCTGTGTGAAGGCGTGCGTGCGCGGGTACTGGCGCAGCTCCACACGGCCCTCCCTCTTGTCCATGTCCACCACGCCTACATAACGCAGCACCTGGAGGAAGGGGAGGGGTGAGGGAGGGCGAGTGGAGAGAGGGGAGAGGGACATCGGAAGAGGGAGAGCGGGAGCGAAGGACGGAGGGAGATAGGGTGAGGGAGAGAGGTGGAGCAGACGAGGGAGATGATGATGTTAGGGAACTAGCGGCACGAGCATCCAATGAGCATTTCCAATGAGCAGGATAGCTGGATAGCATACAGTCGCCACACCAACTCACCTCGCCTGTCTCCTCGGCCGCCTTTCTCTTGACCTCCATCTCATCGTCGAACTCAGGCAGCCGCTGCATGAACTCGTCCACACTCGCCACGTGCTGCCAGGACACGAGGGAGGGGAGGGAGAGAGGGGAGGGAGAGGAGGGGATGGAGGTGGGTCTAGTGCTGTGAGTGTCAGAGTCGCTGCATAAACTCGTCCACACTTGCCACGTGCTGCCAGACACACGGAACGAGGGTGGGAGGGGGGAGGGGGACACAAACGGGGTTGGAAGGGAGTTCAGAAAGTTCCAAGAAGAGGGCTGCTGTTTCAGATATTCCACCCATACAAAGTGTTTTACAGCTTCAGATCAGCCTATCAGTAGATTTGCATTACTGTAACAAAGGTGTGTTGTCACTATCAAATGAGTGCCGCTATGATTCCTGAATACCATAGTTACCACACCAACAACGCTCAATTGCCGCACCTGGAGTGCTTCAACATCGTATCTGACAAGCCTCAATACCATGCCTGAAGAGCCTCGGTACCGTACCTGGAGAGGCTTGGTACCGTACCTGGAGAGCCTCTGGCACAAGGCTTTGCACGGGTACTTGGTCGAGCTCGAGGCGAAGACCACACTCCCGAGCCAAGATGACCACCTGTGAGTGGAGAAAGAACAGGGATGAGTGGGGTGGGTGGGGGAGCGAGAAAGGTGGGATAAGAGGAGACAGTGAATTACTAGATTTTGCTTTCAATCTGCCCTCCACATACCCATGCCCCCCCAATCATTCCAGATCATCCCTAGGTTATGTCTCCATTGATCTGTTAACCCACGCCCCCGCCACCATCCTCTCTCAACACTCCACCTCCCCGCCTTCTCTTGCATGCTCTTCTCACCTTCCTCGCCATGTCCACGCCCCACACGTATCACCTTCCTTGGCGTGGGTTAACAGATCATCCCTAAGCTCTGTGAATTCGTTGGCCTGCGTCTCCGCCACCATCCCCTCCCCACACGTATCACCTTTCCTTGTCTTCCTCGCAACACTGCCCTCACCTCCCTCGCCATGTCCATGCCCGCCAGATCATCCCTGGGGTCCGCTTCCTTGCCACGTCCATGCGCTCAATGAACCTGTTGGCCCACCCATGCCTCTCCCATCGTTCCTCACCTTCCTTGCCATGTCCATGCCTACCAGATCACCCCAGGGGTTGCCCTGCCACCAGCCTCTCCCAATGCTCCTCACCTTCCTCGCAACGTCCATGCCCTCCAAGTAATCCCAAGGGTCCGGCTCCGTGAACCCATTGGCGCGCGCCTCTGCCACGACCAGCACTCCCCCCCATCAGCTACTAAGCGCCCCTCACCAACCCCCGCATTCTCTTTCACGCCCTCCTCCTCACCTTCCGCGCCATGTCCATGCCCTCCAGGTCGTCCCGGGGGTCAGGCTCCGTGGACCCGTTGGCGCGCGCCTCTGCCACCATCCTCTCCCAATGCATATCACCTTCCACACCCTTTTCCCCATCATTCCTCACCTTCCACACCCTTTTCCCCATCATTCCTCACCTTCCACACCCTTTTCCCCATCATTCCTCACCTTCCACACCCTTTTCCCCAACATTCCTCACCTTCCACACCCTTTTCCCCATCATTCCTCACCTTCCACACCCTTTTCCCCATCATTCCTCACCTTCCACACCCTTTTCCCCATCATTCCTCACCTTCCACACCCTTTTCCCCATCATTCCTCACCTTCCACACCCTTTTCCCCATCATTCCTCACCTTCCACACCCTTTTCCCCATCATTCCTCACCTTCCACACCCTTTTCCCCATCATTCCTCACCTTCCACACCCTTTTCCCCATCATTCCTCACCTTCCACACCCTTTTCCCCATCATTCCTCACCTTCCACACCCTTTTCCCCATCATTCCTCACCTTCCACACCCTTTTCCCCATCATTCCTCACCTTCCACACCCTTTTCCCCATCATTCCTCACCTTCCACACCCTTTTCCCCATCATTCCTCACCTTCCACACCCTTTTCCCCATCATTCCTCACCTTCCACACCCTTTTCCCCATCATTCCTCACCTTCCACACCCTTTTCCCCATCATTCCTCACCTTCCACACCCTTTTCCCCATCATTCCTCACCTTCCACACCCTTTTCCCCATCATTCCTCACCTTCCACACCCTTTTCCCCATCATTCCTCACCTTCCACACCCTTTTCCCCATCATTCCTCACCTTCCACACCCTTTTCCCCATCATTCCTCACCTTCCACACCCTTTTCCCCATCATTCCTCACCTTCCACACCCTTTTCCCCATCATTCCTCACCTTCCACACCCTTTTCCCCATCATTCCTCACCTTCCACACCCTTTTCCCCATCATTCCTCACCTTCCACACCCTTTTCCCCATCATTCCTCACCTTCCACACCCTTTTCCCCATCATTCCTCACCTTCCACACCCTTTTCCCCATCATTCCTCACCTTCCACACCCTTTTCCCCATCATTCCTCACCTTCCACACCCTTTTCCCCATCATTCCTCACCTTCCACACCCTTTTCCCCATCATTCCTCACCTTCCACACCCTTTTCCCCATCATTCCTCACCTTCCACACCCTTTTCCCCATCATTCCTCACCTTCCACACCCTTTTCCCCATCATTCCTCACCTTCCACACCCTTTTCCCCATCATTCCTCACCTTCCACACCCTTTTCCCCATCATTCCTCACCTTCCACACCCTTTTCCCCATCATTTCTCACCTTTCTCGCCACATCCATGCCCTCCAGATCGTCCCGGGGGTCAGGCTCCGTGAACCCGTTGGCCCGTGCCTCTGCCATCATCCTCTTTCAGCGCATATCACCTTCCTTCTACACCTTCTTCCCCACCGTTCCTCACCTTCCTCGCCACATCCATGCCCTCCAGGTCGTCCCGGGGGTCAGGCTCAGTGAACCCATTGGCGCGCGCCTCTGCCACGATCTGCGAGAAGGGCTTGCTACCGTCGAAGTTGTTGAAGATGTAGCTCAGCGTGCCACTGGTGGGGGAGTAGGTGGGGGGGTGTAGATGGGGAATGGGGAGGAAACAAGGGAGAACAAGGCATGAGAGATTATGTGGGTGTGTGCGGTCCTGCATTCTGCTGATGTCAGCTTTTGCCGCGATCTGCGAGAAGGGCTTGCTGCCATCAAAGCTGTTGAAGATGTAGCTCAGCGTGCCACTGGTGGGGGGAGGTGGCGAGAGGGGGGAAGGGGGTTAAGGGGAAGACCAGGGAGGGGGGAGCGGGAGGAGTGGAGGGGAGACCCTCTCCCAACTAAAGATTCCATCAATGCGGTGCATGCACGCGTGTGTAGCAAGCACTTGGGAGTGAAGATGGTCGCAGTCACCCATCCCTCATCCATGACACACCTGAAGATGCCTTCCATGCGGTGAATGTGGTCGCCTGTGTCCAGCAGCTCCTAGGGTGTTGCCACTATGGGCAGCCCTTGGGGAAAGCGCCTACAACTTGTTATGTATCGCGAAGCGAGCACACCACAAGCATCCACCCGTATCTCTCTGCATCACTCTGCACACCTGAAAATGCCTTCGATGCGGTGGATGTGGTCGCCCGTGTCCAGCAGCCCCTTGAGCGTCGCTACAATGGGCAGCCCGGCTCCCACGGTGGCCTCGTACAGGTAGTGCGTGCAGAGCTCGCGCTGCAGCTGACGGATCTTGAGATACTGGAGGAGGGGAGGGAGACATAGGGCAAGAAAGAGGTGGGAGAGAGGGGTGGTGGGGAGGGAAGGATGAGCGAGCAGTGGAGCCACACCTGCTCCCACGGTGGCCTCATACAGGTGGTGTGCGCACTGCTCACGGTATTAATCCGCCACCTTGCTGCTGCTGGCAGTGCAGTCCACCACCACCATGTTGGGAGCTCTACCCTTGTACTTTCACCCTCTCTCTAGCCCTTTCAGGCCTGGAGAATTGGCACTGGCCGTACCTCTTTGAGGGGCCCCGAGTTGGCCTTCTTGTTGGGGGTGACCACGTGCAGCCCCTCGGCCAGCCACGTGGGGTATTTGTCCGCCACGTCGCTGCTGGCAGTGCAGCCCACCACCACCGTGTTGGGCAGTGGGGCATGGGCATCGGCACCCCTAGAACGCCCATAAGAGAGGCCCTAGGAGAGCTCTACCCCTGTGCCTTGACCCTCTAGCCCTTTAGGGTCCGGGGTACTAGCAGTGAGCGTACCTCTTTCAGAGGGCCGGAATTGGCCTACTTGTTGGGGGTCACAACGTGCAGCCCCTCGGCCAGCCACGTGGGGTATTTGTCCGCCACGTCGCTGCTGGCAGTGCAGTCCACCACCACTGTGTTGGGCAGTGGGGCATGGGCATGGGCACCCCTAGAACGCCCATAAGAGAGGCCCCAGGAGAGCTCTACCCCTGTGCCATGACCCTCTAGCCCTTTAGGGTCTGGGGTAAAGGCAGTGAGCGTACCTCTTTGAGGGGCCCCGAGTTGGCCTTCTTGTTAAGGGTCACGACATGGAGCCCCTCGGCCAGCCACGTGGGGTATTTATCCGCCACATCGCTGCTGGCAGTGCAGTCCACCACCACCGTGTTGGGCAGTGGGGCATGGGCGATGGGCAATGGGCATCCCCCAGAGAGGGCCTAAGAGAGGCCCTAAGCCCTGGGGAGCTCTAACCCTGTGCCTTAGCCCTCAGCCCTTTAGGGCCTGGGGTACGAGCCCTTAAGCACTGGCCGTACCTCTTTAAGAGGCCCGGAATTGGCCTTCTTGTTGGGGGTGACCACGTGGAGCCCCTCAGCCAACCACGTGGGGTATTTGTCCGCCACGTCGCTGCTGGCAGTGCAGTCCACCACCACCGTGTTGGGCAGCCCGTGGTGCCCGTCCATCAGAGAGGCCTCGAATGCCACCATGTCCGCCGCCTCCCCTCTCTCCGCCAGCTCCTCGCGCCAGTTGCTCAGGTGCACGCCCCTGGGAGGGGAAGGTGTGTAGGGGGGGGCAGAGGAGTGAATGAGGGCAGCCCGTGGTGCCCGTCCATCAGCGACGCCTCGAATGCCACCATGTCTGCTGCCTCACCCCGCGTTCCCAGCTCCTCGCGCCAGTTATCCAGTTGCACGCCCCTGGAGGGTGGGATGGGGGATGTGTGAGATGATGTGGTGGGTGGGCAGCCCGTGGTGCCCGTCCATCAGCGACGCTTCAAATGCCACCATGTCTGCCGCCTCGCCCCGCGATCCCAGCTCCTCGCGCCAGTTGCTCAGATGCACGCCCCTGGGAGGGAGAAGGGGGAGTGTGGAGGGGGGAGGGAGGGGATCACAGGGAGCCAATGATGCCCCATATCCTAGCATCAACCAGTTCACCTTCCCCCCAAAACAATCTTGCCCTGTGCTCTCTGATCACCACCTTCAGCCCACCCTCACCTGTTATCAATGAGCATCTTATTCGCCCCAATGATCCCCACCACGCGCATGTCAATATTGAACTCCTTCTTCAGACTCGCCCTCTGGTCCCTGATCTGATCCAGCAGCGTGCCGCCAATCAGCCCCGGGCCAACCAGCGCCACCGCCAGCGGCGTCTGCGAGTGGTAGAACCGCCCGTGCGCCGCCCGCAGAGCAGCCGGCGCGTCACTCCTATCCACCACCACTGTGATATTATACTCGGAGCATCCCTGTGCGATCGCACGCACGTTCACCCGCGCTTTGGCCAGCGCGGCGAAGAGAGCAGCCGAGACGCCCGGAGTGCTGGCCATGCGCTGCCCGACGGCTGCCAGGACTGTGCAGTGCGGGATGACCTCGATGTCGTGCACGCGATTTGTTTCGATTGCGCGGCGGAAGGTGGTGCGCAGGGCGGCGGCCACCATGTCGGCTTCGGCCTCGGGCACGGCGAAGCACACGGAGTGCTCGGAGGAGGCCTGCGAGATGGCGATGACGTTGGCCCCCACGTTCTTGACTGCACTGAAGATCTGACTTGCGATACCGGGGACTCCTGCCATGCCCGTGCTGGGGGGTGGGGAGAGGGGGAGAGAGGAGGGGAAGGGAGAAGCAGGAAGGGAGAAGCGGCACGGGAGAAGAGGAGGGAAAAGAGGAGGTGTTTATAAGGCGACCACATGGTAGGGTTGAGAAGCAGCGGCCCACCATGTCGGCCTCGGGTTCGGGTACGGCGAAGCACACGGAGTGCTCTGAGGAGGCCTGCGAGATGGCAATGACGTTGGCCCCCACGTTCTTCACTGCACTGAAGATCTGGCATGCGATACCGGGCACTCCTGCCATGCCCGTGCTGGGGGGTGGGGGCGAGAGGGGGAGGGAGGGGCGGGGACAAGGGAAGTGGGGAGGAAGAAAGGAAAGAGGTGTGAGAAAGAGTTGTTAGCAAGGCTGCCAGATGGTGTGGGAGAGATGCACACGGCGTGCCCTGAGGAGGCCTGGGAGATGGCATTGACAGCCTCGCAACTCACACTCACCCTGGCAACCTGACCAGCAACGCACTGCCAATGATGAGAAACACGTGCCTTGCACGCTCGTCCGAACAGGCATCATGGAAGCGACCAAACACTTGAGCACAGGGAGCAAAGGAAGAACTCACCCAGCCACGTTGACGAGTGCGACGTTATCGATGGTGGCAAAGCCCTTCACAACAGCGTCCAGGGGGTCGCTCCCCTCCTCCAGCAGCTCGTTGTGAGCCACCTCGTGGGAGCGACCAAACACTATGGCACTACGGCACACTGGACTCACCCAGCAACGTTGACGAGTGCCACGTTGTCAATAGTAGCAAATCCCTTCACAACAGCGTCCAGGGGGTCCGACCCCTCCTCCAGCAGCTCGTTGTGAGCCGCCTCGTGCTCCTCGTCGGAGAAGGAGTCGTGGGAGCGGCCGATGCGCGTGCCGGGCGCCGTGGGGTTGAATGCGTTGCGGATGAACATGGGGATGGCGTACTTCATCACTGGGAGGGTGGTGCGCGGGTGCAGCACGTTGGCTCCGAAGTAGGACTGGAAACAGTGGGGAGCGGTGGGGGAGAGAGGAGGAACACGGGGATGAACATGGGGATGGCGTACTTCATCACTGGGAGCGTGGTGCGCGGGTGAAGGACTTTCGCTGCGAAGTAGGACTGAGAGTAGTTGGGAGGACGGAGGGGAGACCAGGTTGAGGGGAAACAAAAGCAGGGGCACGCTGTTATGCTAGCACACTGCTAGTATGTTATATCTCGTTGTGGCGTGGAACGTGTTGTTATGGAACGCTGAAACACGCCATGGATGAATTATGCCCTCTTGGATTACCACCTCCCAGCTACCATGTTCCCATGGCCCCATGCTTACCAGCTCCCATGCCTCTTGATACGAGAGATTCTTGAGAATAACAGCATCCGGCACTGCAAGTAGCAGGAGCGGAGGGTGGAGGGGCCGAGAGGGGGAAGAGAGGGGAAGAACAGGGAAGGACGAGAGAGAGAGTGAGATGATGGTATACGATGGGAATGGTGGCTTACAGGGCACTGTAATGCTGTAACTCTCGTCTCTCTTCGTCGCACTCTCTCACACTCACTCACATTCACTCTCTCAACCCTTCCCTTATCCCACGCCACTCACCTTTCCGGGGGTCAGCGGAGTACACCCCATCCACGCCCGTCCAGACAATCACCCTGACAGCACGCAGCAGCGACCCAAAGCGAATAACCTCAACGCCCTTCCCTTCCCTTCCCTTCCTTTCCCCCTCTCCCCGTCGCCTCTCACCTCTCCGGGGGTCAGCCGAGTAAACCCCGTCCACGTCCGTCCAGATGATCACCCGCCCAGCGCGCAGCAGCGACCCAAAGATGGCAGCAGAGAGGTCGCTGCCGTCCCTCTTGAGCGTGGTGGGCACCCCGTCCTCTGTGCGCGCAATGAACCCCGTCGCCACCACCAGGTCTGGGCCCCCGCCCTCGTAGTGCCCGTCGTCGCCACGAGCAGCGTACCACGCGTGCAGGTTCTCCTCACAGCGCTCGTAGTTGGGATCAACCTAGAGGTGGCAGCATGGGAGACGTTGGGAGGAGGAATTATGAGGTTTTGTAAAAAAACAACTGGCCCAACGAGAAGCATCGTACGAGGCGTGCAGATACTCAAGGGTGGGGTGACATGTGAGCAGGGACTAGGAGGAGGGAAAGGCCGCCGGATTCAACCCCCGTACCTCACCTCACAGCCCAGACTTTGAACCTGACAGCCGACCAGAACTTTAGCTGGCTGCCGCCCAGAATCAACAGCCGTACCTTCTTGCCCCACAGAACTGAAACTAACTGCCGCCCAGAACTAGCAGCCGTACCTGACTGCCGCCCAGATTCATCAGTCGTACCTGACTGCCGCCCAGATTCATCAGTCGTACCTGACTGCCGCCCAAAATCATCAGTCGTACCTGATTGCCGCCCTCCGCTGGGTGCACCACGAGCACGTCGCGCGCATCCATGAACGCCACCTTCTTGCCCGTCACCTGGGGGGGGGGGGGGGGGGGGAGAAGGTGGGATGGGAAAGGGGCGGCGGAAGAGGAGGGGGAAGGGGAGGGGGAAAGGGTGTTAAGACGACTCCATTGCTCTGCGCACGTGGCGCGCATCCATGAACGCCACCTTCTTGCCCGTCACCTGGGGAGAAGGGGGGAGGGAGGGGGGAGAAGGAAGGGGGAGAATGGGGGAAAAGGGGGGGTGAGGAAAGGGGGGAAGGGGGTTAAGATGGCGGCAGTGCAAGGCGCACGTGGTGCGCATCCATGAACGCGCCACCTCCTTGCCCGTCACTGACGTTATGGGGGAAAGTGGGGGGGAGCGGCGGTTGGGGGGAGGGGAGGGGGGAGAGGATGGGGGGAAGCGTGGAAGGAGGTTGAGTCGATAGAAGTGCACGTCGCTTGGGGAAAGAAAGAATCACAGTGGACCACAGCTCGCCGTGTCCCACGATGAGGAGCAGAGCACGTGCCTGTGAGAACACCTCGCACAGCTCGCCCTAAGTTCAGTGGGAATGGCACCAACATGCGACGAACTACTCCCACCCTGCCTTTTGCAACCCCTCACCTTCCGATGCACAGATGGCGTCTCACCTTCTGCAGCGTGGCGTCGAGGATCATGGCGGACCACAGCTCGCCTCGCCGTGCACCACGACGAGAGCAGAGCACGTGGACTCTCACCCCGCCTCTCGCCCTGCCTACTACTGCAATCCCTCTCACCTAATGCCGCGCCTCGCCCTTCATACACGGCGTCTCACCTTCTGCACCGTGGCGGCGAGGATCATGGCGGACCACAGCTCGCCGTGCCCCACAATGAAGTCTGTGAAAATCTCCGTGGAGCTGCCCGCTGGTAGAGGGAGCGGGAGGGGGGGAGGGAGAGGGGGAAACAGCAGGATGAATATTTCCGTGGAGCTGCTCACTGGGTAGTGGGAAAGAGAGGGAAGGGTGGGGGGAGAGAGAGGGAGGAAGGGGGAGGGGTGAAGAGGGTGGGAGAGGGGTATAGAGGACTACCAATGAACACGGCTTTTTACAAGGCTCAGTATTTTCCATCCGTACTTAACAGTTCCCATTTTTAAGCCACTCAAAAGCTCTCACCAATGGAGATGGCTTTGAGCATGGCTTTAAGGTTGATCAGGTCCTCATCGATACGCTCCATGATCTTCCTACACTTACACACTTCTGCTCTATTACGAACCATGCTAGAGCACTCACCGATGGAGATGGCTTTGAGCATGGCTTTAAGGTTGATCAGGTCCTCGTCGATGCGCTCCATGATCTTCTTCGCCTCCGCGTCCTCCTCCCCCAGCAGCTCCGCCGCCGCCGCGCGGTGCTTCTCGCGCAGCTGCGCTATAAGCTCCGCCCACCCGCTAACGTCCTTCGCGGCCGCCTTGTCCAATAACGAGTACAGAATGTTGGTGACCTTGGGAGTGCCGCCCATGGCCGACACGACGACGAAGCGACGCTCCGCGGGGTCGCTGGCGACGATGCGTGCGACGTTGAGGATTCGCTCGGCGGATCCCACGCACGTGCCACCGAACTTGTGCACGGACCAGCTGCCGCCCTGCGGCATCGTCATGTCTGCCACCTCGAAGTCCGTGTTGATGTCCTCTGCGGAGGGACGCGGGTATGGGAGAGAAGAGAGCCGGTGCAGAGAATGGCATGAGGTACAAGAAGGAACCCACGCACGGGCCTCGGAATCTGTGTGTGATGCTGGGCCACGGGACCAGCTGCACCCGTGCGGCATGAGGCTGTCCGCTAGGACGACCGGCTCTGCGACGCTGCCCTCTGGGAATACCGGGAGTTGGATAATCACTCGCGACTGAGAACACGGGAGAACAAGGGATCTTGGCAGCGCGGATTATAAGCATTCGAAGGGCTTGACATTGAAGGCACATTCCGTGGGAAAGACTCGGCAGGTTCGGAAGAAACCTTGGCTTTGGATCTTGGCAGCGCGGCTTCTGTGGTGCAAACATATGCTGCAAACATATGCTTTCTTAAGGGTGCGGGAGTAGCCCTACCTAGCCTCAAGTTACAGCATCTTCCAAGGGAGACAGACGAGGTATCAGTTGAAACACGCGTCCTTCTCAAGGAGGATCAGACGCTTACCGGCAATAGCGGCGCGAACCGCGGTAGAGGGATGCGATGCAGGCGCGGGAGCGGCCCTAGCGGTCCTGCATTGGCGGAGAGGAGAAGGCAGGTCAGATACAGAGGACGTTAGAAGTCTCGGAATCAGGACTACATAACCGGCGCTACCAAGGCACAGAGTAAGGTATGTGCCTACGGGGTAACCATAAGAAACAGGGATGACCGCTCCAGGGTCGAAAACATCACAAATCATGAAAGTTAATGGAAAATTGAAGAAGACGAGAGGAGTTCAGAACAAGAAGGCCTTGACAACCTCCGCATTATCACCCGCATAGTCTCCTGAAATCTCAGCAGCATTCACCAAGCCGGCGACACAATGAGTCCTTTTGGACGTAAGGAGAAACAGAATATGCTTGGTAAGAAGCACGACTGCATTCTTTGCGAGCAGATCGTACTCTGTGCAGTGGCGTGTGAAGTTCAGCGCACTCACCCCTTGAGCTTCTGCTTCGCGGCAGACTTGCGCGTTTTAGAGGCCTTGAGTCCATTGAATGATGGGAGAGCGCTTTCTTTAGCGGCGACAGTCGGGACGGATTTGACAGGCGTCAGTCCCAACACCTTGGCACACTGGAGAGCAGCCATGGTTTCGTGATAACCCCGCTATCTAAGCTTTTCCAATGTGCAGCGAGCTGGATCGGCAATGACAGATCGTGTTGCTGTGCCGAGGGCTCTGCAGCTCACAGATATAAAATTCTGACGAAGTTGGTGACTGAAGGGTCTTCACAGAATAGGCAAAGAAGAAACACTTTAGTGGGATTAGCAGCCTTGGGATTAGCAGAGTTGGGAAACAGCATAACGAAGAAATATGCTCGATGCGAAAGCTGTGCGAAACGAATCAAGAAATTACCACGCTGCGTCGACTTCTCGTAACGGAAATGAAACTGACGGCGACGAGGATTGACCCCGCATTCAGGACAGGTGAGCAAAGAGCTCCATCTTCACTGGATGAGGGTGAATGCCACGCTGGCTGCAGCCGAATCTGCACTCAGCTATTCGCGCGGGAAGGCCGCATCGTACTTGAAGCTCTCTTTTCATTAGCTCAGACGAGCCACCGTTCTTTCGTAACTGGATGTTCGAAAGCAAGTGCCAAATCATCTCAATTGGACGATTTCGTAAACCAATCAAAATATAAGCTCTCCGAGAAATGCTGGAAAGCCCTCGGCGCCGAACAGGGGCTGTTGATCCAGTCGCCTTCCACGACAGCACGTGACAGGCTGGCGGAACTTCTGGATGTAGCCAGATCAGCAAACCTTCCAAAAATCCAGCGACATTCACATGTGCTAGTCTTGCAATTTGTTTTTGTAACATCAACACTTATGGATTACGCTTTCCTAATTACATTTCAAGGTAGCACACTCAATGCTGATTGAGAGGTTTAATAGTATGTGTGTGTATACGCATGCTGTTAATAGCATATACATTCCTTTGCAACTACAAAATCGTACAAGACAATGCAGTCAAGGACCTGTTCTCATAACAATAGCACTATCGCCTACAGCCATCTTGACCTCTCTTGCTCCCCGCCCTTCTTTCCTGCTGGGTCGGCTGAATTTGGCAGAAGGTGCACTAGTCGGGGATCTCTGGGCGGCAGACACAAGATACTCCTCCAACCTGAGCACATCCGCGCCCTCACTCGCGGACAAAAACGGAACAGTAGACTCGCACAAGGTGACAAACGCAGAGAACGGGGCGGCACGAATCCCAAGCGAAACCATTTCCCTCGCAACCGCTTCCCTCTCTCCCAACCTCTCCCCTCCAACTCCCATCCTCCCACCGCCACCACCGCCGCCACCGCCGCCGCCACCACCACCTCTCCCATACCCCGCTCCTCCCAAAAGTGCTCGCCCCAAACTCTCCATCACCTTACCCAGATTCTCTACGTCCCTCTCCTTGCCGCTCCCAAACCGCACCAAAGCAGCGCCACTATCAACTGGTTCGAGCTCCAGGGGTGCGTTGCGGCCCAGGGCTCCCCGCAGGAGGAAGCGCAGGCGCTGGTGGGGGAGGGAGGCGGGTAGGCCCCACAGGAAGAGCACGTTGGAACGGTCCTCCTCCTCCCTGCTGCTGGTGCTGTTGCTGCTGCTGCTGCTGCTGCTGGGGGTAGCGGTGCCGCTGCTGCTGCTGCTGCTGCTGCTGCTGCTGCTGCTGCTGTGAGTGATGGTGCTGGTGTTGGTGAAGGAAGAAGGGGGTCGGGGCAGGAGAGTGTCAAGGGAGGCGAGGAAGGGGGAAGCACGGGAGCCAATGGCAGCGTGCCCCGTGGCAAGGTCCAGGTGAATGTCCCGTGCCCCCTTGCCTATGAGCGTCGTGATGTTGGATAGGCCACCCACTGCTGCTTCCGCTGCTGAATGTGCTGATTCTGCTGCTGTTGCTGCTGACACTCCTGGTTCTGATGCTGCTGCTGAATGTGCTGATTCCGCCGCCGCTGACGGTGCTGACCCTGATGCTGCTGCTGATGCAGCTGGCGCTGCTGCCACAGCTGCTTCCCTGAGCAGCGATGCTTCTGCTGTGCTTCCGTCGCTGCTCTCATCATTGTGTTCCCTGTCAGTCCCTACCCTCCCACTCACGACCCCCTCTCCTCGCCTCCACCTCTCCACCACCCATCTCCTCCCTTCCCTCTCTCTCCCCCACTCACCTCTCCCCAACCCCTCTCCCTCGCCATCCCCCTCGCTCCCTCTCCCTCTCCTCTCCTCTCTCCACCTACCTCCCTCCTCCCTAGCAGCCGCAGCAGTGGCAGAAGCAGCAGGGGGGAGGGAGGAGAGGCAGTGGGGGGGAAGACCGAGGCGGTGGCAGGCTTGGGCGAACACCATTCCAGTCATAAACGCATCGTATGCTGCCTCGTGCCTTGGACCCTGGCCGTTGGATGAGGAGTATCTGACGGTTCAGAAGGGGGTAGAGGGGGTTGGATGGGAAAGCGTGGAGGAGGGTTGGGGAAAAACTATGGCTACAAAAAGTGGGGAAATGGCATGCTTTTTTTTAAGCTGCCTCAAAAGTGGGGAGGTGGCATGCCTGCAGCTACACTATTGCCTCTCATCCTTCCCTGTACTCCCATCCTCCTCTCCTCCCTCACCGCCCCCTCCCCTCTCCTCTCTCGCCCTCCACTCAGTACCCCTTCCCCCTCTCCTCTCACCCTCCTCTCTCACCCTCCGCTCACCGCCCCCTCCCGCCTCCTCCCTCACCCCCCCTTGCCCTCTTCTCCGCCCTCTCTCTCCTTCCATATACCCCCTGTCCTCTCCCCCCACCTCTTATCCCCCCTCCCCTTGATTCACCTGGCAGCCTCGTGACTGAACCGCACTCGCATGGGCGCCCCATCCACAAACAGAAGGTTCCTGGAAGTATCATACAGAGCGCCCAGCGACACCCGTCTGTTGGTGCTGGCAGCTTCCTGGAAGGTCACAAACAAATACAGGGACACAGTGGGTCGCAAGTGAATTTCGATGCAGCTCAAAATCACCTCACACATCTAAAGAAGCCTTGTATGATCGTATCTGCTGCACCATATGCCTCCCACACTCAATGCAGATGTCAGCTGACCTCCCTAGCAGAGTGATAAAAGTGTATTTTTGAGATGTCTCAGAAACACACTTCTATCCCAGAGGGCATGGAAGAGCCAGCTGACCCCCCTGGCAGAGTGCAGGGCAGCACAGTCACACGCACACCTTGCATGCCTCACACACAGAATGCGCAGCATCATGGACACACACACCATGCCTCACACGCCCAACACACCTGTGCTAGAAGCGAGGCAGCAGCGAGACAGCTGGTGTCAAAGAGAGCAGGGAAGAGCTGACGGACGTCCCGAGAGAAGAGCGACGGGGAGGGAGAACAGCAGCATAAGAACCATTGCGAGCATGCCACACCACCTTGAACCACCTTGCACCACCTTGCACCACCTTGCACCACCTTGCACCACCTTGCACCACCTTGCACCACCTTGCACCACATTGCACCACATTGCACCACATTGCACCACATTGCACTGCACGAACCTGTGCTAGAAGTGAGGCAGCAGCGAGGCAGCTTGTGTCGAAGAGAGCAGGGAAGAGCCGGGTGACTTCCCGAGAGAAGAGCGAGGGGGAGGGCGAACAGCAGCATAAGAACCATTACGAGCATGCCGCACCACCTTGCACCACATTGCACCACATTGCACCACCTTGCACCACATTGCACCACATTGCACCACCTTGCACCACATTGCACCACATTGCACCACCTTGCACCACATTGCACCACATTGCACCACCTTGCACCACCTTGCACCACATTGCACCACCTTGCACCACCTTGCATCACTTTGCACCACATTGCACCACATTGCACTGCACGAACCTGTGCTAGAAGTGAGGCAGCAGCGAGGCAGCTTGTGTCGAAGAGAGCGGGGAAGAGCCGGCTGACTTCCCGAGAGAAGAGCGCAGAGCAGCAGTCACAAGCACCCCTTGCATGCCTCACATACCCAACACAACTGAGCTAGGCGTGTAGCAGCAGCGAGGCAGCTGGTGCCGAAGAGGGTGGGGAAGAGCCGGCTGACCTCGTAAGAGACGAGCGACGGGGAGGGAGAACAGCAGCATAAGAACCACTACGAGCATGCCGCACCACCTTGAACCACCTTGCACCACATTGCACCACATTGCACCACATTGCACTGCACGAACCTGTGCTAGAAGTGAGGCAGCAGCGAGGCAGCTGGTGTCGAAGAGAGCAGGGAAGAGCCGTGTGACCTCCCGAGAGAAGAGCGAGGGGGAGGGCGGAACATGGCCCACAAACTTGTGAAGAATGTGGGCGAGGTCTGCGTGGGTGGGGGACGGTTAGAATGGGGACAGATGAAATCAGTGGTAGGACGGAGATGCTGCAGGTGGGGGGGAGGGCGGAATGTGGCCCCAAAACTTGTGGAGAATATGGGTGAGGTCTGTGTGGGAACGTAGAGGGGATATAAGGAACAGGCGTAGTAGGTACGGTGTGCAGGGCTGAGGTTGAATGGGACGATGCTGTGTAAGAGTGGAGCGCGGAACGTGACCCAATGTGACCCAACGTAAGAGTGTAAGGGTGGGACAAACTTGTGGAGAATGTGGGCGAGGAGAGGTCTGCGTGGGAATGCAGGGCGGGAACACTGGGAAGAGGTGAAATCAAAAACTTGCGTGGCGACTTTTGAGTCGACTCAAAAGTCTCTGCGTGGGAATGCAGGGCGGGAACACTGGGAAGAGGTGAAATCACAAACTTGCGTGGCGACTTTTGAGTCGACTCAAAAGTCTCTGCCTGGGAAGGCAGGGCGGGAACACTGGGAAGAGGTGAAATCACAAACTTGCGTGGCGACTTTTGAGTCGACTCAAAAGTCTCTGCGTGGGAAGGCAGGGCGGGAACACTGGGAAGAGGTGAAATCACAAACTTGTGTGGCGACTTTTGAGTCGACTCAAAAGTCTCTGCGTGGGAATGCAGGGCGGGAACACTGGGAAGAGGTGAAATCACAAACTTGTGTGGCGACTTTTGAGTCGACTCAAAAGTCTCTGCGTGGGAATGCAGGGCGGGAACACTGGGAAGAGGTGAAATCACAAACTTGTGTGGCGACTTTTGAGTCGACTCAAAAGTCTCTGCGTGGGAATGCAGGGCGGGAACACTGGGAAGAGGTGAAATCACAAACTTGTGTGGCGACTTTTGAGTCGACTCAAAAGTCTCTGCGTGGGAATGCAGGGCGGGAACACTGGGAAGAGGTGAAATCACAAACTTGTGTGGCGACTTTTGAGTCGACTCAAAAGTCTCTGCGTGGGAATGCAGGGCGGGAACACTGGGAAGAGGTGAAATCACAAACTTGTGTGGCGACTTTTGAGTCGACTCAAAAGTCTCTGCGTGGGAATGCAGGGCGGGAACACTGGGAAGAGGTGAAATCACAAACTTGCGTGGCGGATGTGAGCGAGGGCTGCATGGGGAGTGGAAGGGAGACGAAAGAAACGGACGGGGTGCCATGTGTAGGCAGTGGAATGGGGTGCTGCTGTGTAACGGAAGGGTGTCACGTGACAGGAGCGCAGGAGCGCGGAACTTGCGGAGAGTGTGAGGAGTTTTGGTGAACGAGAGGAGCGTGCGTGCGTGTCTGTGCGTTTGTGTGTTTATGTGCACAAGAACGAGAGGAGCGTGCATGCGTGAGCGCGTGTGTTGCGTGCTTGTGTGCATGCGTGTTTGTGTGTTTTGTGTGTTTATGTGCACATGCACGCACCAAGGAAGCAGGAGTGCGCCACTAGGGGTTTGGTCTGGCACGCCAGAGACAGGGCATCCACCACACGCCTCACCCCCACTGCTCTGCATGAGTTTTGAGATGCCAAAAAACACCTACCAAGGAAGCAGGAGTGAGCCACCAGCGGCTTATTCTGGCATGCCAGAGACACGGCATCCACCACGCGCCTCACCCCCACTGCTCTGCGCACCACTGCAGCTGCTCCCGCCTGCCGCAGCTCGAGCAGCCGCTTCTGCAGGCGAGTAAGCAGGGGGAAGGGAAGAAGGGGGACAAAGTGAATGCTTTATCCTAGCATGATAGACGCATGGTAGAGCCATGAAAGGGCGTTCACCACTCGCCTCACTCCCACTGCCCTGCGCACCGCTGCAGCACGTGTAGAGAGGGTGTTATTGAGACGTCTCAAAGACAAAGTGAATGCTTTATCCTTGCATGATAGACACATGGTAGAGCCATGAAAGGGCGTTCACCACTCGCCTCACTCCCTCCCACGAGGTGACTTTTGAGTCGACTCAAAAGTCACCATGATAGACACATGGTAGAGCCATCAAAGGGCGTTCACCACTCGCCTCACTCCCACTGCCCTGCGCACCGCTGCAGCAGCCGCTTCTGCAGGCAATGCAGCGCAGAGAGGAATGCAACGGGACTATGGCACGACGGGAAGAAAAGGTAGAACGGTGACGGATTGAGTGCCTTACTGCTGCAGTGGAAGGGAGAATGGCGACAGAGCGAGTGGGTTACTACAGTCCCTCGCTTGCACTCAGTCCCCATTGCCCACTTTCTTTAGTCGACTGAAAGACACATTTATAAATAAGATATTATTTTACTCACCTGCAGTTCCTCAGCCTGCTCCTTTGAGCCGCACAGGAAGAGCCGCACCCTCTTGTATGCACCAATTCGCTCCTCGTGTGATGCCAGATAGGGGTGCTTATAACGAATAGCCTGTAGTTGAAAGCCCGGAAATTCGAATCAACAAAAACAATAACAAAATCAAATGGGAAAACGATGGCGTGAGCGATAACGAGCCAATTAATTAGTAAGTGAAAAAATGTCAGAGTGAGAGATGATGCTGGCACAGGGATAGGGGAGGGAGCGTACCACAAGTAGATGGCAAACCTTGTGATGCCTAAAGTACTATCTTTATTGAGAGAAGAATCTCCACTGTGGACCTATGACTATGACAGATTTATGAAAACACTGTGGCATGGCATGGAGTGGGTGGCCTGTCGTTTACAGAAAATGGCATGGCATGGCTCCTCACCTGATCGGCAGCGTGGCAGTTGAAGGCATCGTTGATTCGAAGAGAGAGCCACGGCCTCTTCCCAACCACTGCTGCTAACGCAGGCTGTAAACCACTGCTGCTGCTGCCATCCCCTCCCACACCCCCGACCGCAACCTCCCCTGCAGCTTCCTCTGCACCCTCCCCACGCACACCAATCGCGACTCCCCTTGCCAATAACTGCTCCTTCAGCTTCTGCTGCACCTCCTGCGCCTCCTGTGCTGATCGGAGTTGTGCGAGCCACAGGTCAACGCGAGCCAGGCTCTTCACTGCAAACTGCACGCCGGGGAATGGCGGGCTTGACGAGTCGCTACTGTTGCTGCTGTCCCGCCAGCTGTACCTGCTGCTGGCGGTGGTGGTGGTGGTGGTGGTAGCGGTGGTGGTGGTGTTGGTGGGCTGTGCCACGTCAGCACTGCCTTGTTGGCTGTTCCACGTCGGCATTGCATGTGATTGTCGGGCTGTTGCTGGTGGGGGAGGGATGTCGAGAAACTTCCATGCGGCTTCCTCTTGCTCGTAGGACAGGTACGAGATTCCTGCGGAAATGGACGGATGAGATTGCATCAGGGGTTCGGGGATGGAATGGGAAAACGCATGCATGAATGAATTCATGGATGCATGGATGGAGGGATGGATGGAAGCATGGATGCACGGAGGGGAATGAATGCATTGTTGCATGAAGATGCATGGTTGCGTGGATGGAGGCATGGAGGCTTGGAGGCATGGAGGCATGACCATCATAATCGCGACCACCATCACCCACCATGCTCCACCCACCAGCACCGCCACCCACCGTGCTGCACCCAGGAGTTGAAGTCGAGGTGGTGTGCTGCCAGGAACTCCAATGAGGACGGCTGACACTGGAAGGAGTGTGCCGGCACGCCCTTAAAGCCCGGGATCTCTGATCGAGGGAACACCTTGAAGTTGAACCTGCGGGGGAGGGGGAATGGGAAGAGAAGGGTGGGGGAGAGCAGGGGGTTGGGGGTGTTGGGTGGTAGTGGTGGGAGGAGAGGAGAGGAGGAGAGGAAGAAGGTTGAGCTTCAAAGAAGACGGCTGGAGAGGATAGAGCTCTCTGGCATGCCCTTAAAGCCCAGAATCTCCGACCAAGGAAGCACCTTAAAGTTGAATCTGGGCACAGGGGAGGGGAACGGGTGGGGTAGTGGTGGATGGGGGCAGTGGAACGGGTGGGGTAGTGGCGGGGGGCGGGGAAGGGGAGAGAGAGAAGGCTGAGCTTCAAAGAGGACGGCTAGCTGTTGCTGCGACCTTGACTAGCAAGGATACTCATGGGTGAACGATGCATTCCCTTTGCTTCTCGTCCCACCGGAACGTACACACGCCTAGCTGCATCACCCCAAACTGCATGGCGCTGTGCCGCCCGTGCAGGCACTCACGGGTGCTGACTTGCACATGCACACGCTCAGATGCATGATGTATGACACTATCGGGGTACTCACTTGAACGTGATTATACAAGAATACTTACGGGTGAACGATAAACTCTCTTCTGTCTTCGTCCCACTTGAACGTGCACACGCCCAGTTGCATCACTGCGAATTGCATCGCGCTGTGCCGCCCGTGCAGGAACCGCGTTGCTACAGTGTCCGCATCCAACGGTCGCCTGAACGACCCCGAATCCAGACCGCTCATTTCCAGATCCAGACAAACGAAGTCAGCCGCTTGCAGCGCGGGTTGGAATTGGGTTTCGAATACCTCCTCGAAGTTTTCGCGGGTTACCGAGGCTACGGTGAGGTTCGGTGGCAGGTTCGGTGGCTGGTGCCGAGTCTCAGGTTTGGGTTGTGCCGAGCCTGGCAGATGGATGGTGGAGCTGCTGCGGCGAACAACGGCAAGTGCCGTAATATCCGGCGGGAAATGCGCTGGTAAGTGCGTGTCGACGCGGAATCGGGGTCCCCAGAAGAAGGAGCGAGGAAACTTCCTTGGCGATGTGTGTGCAAGCGACGTGGAATAGGTAATCTGCCTGAGTGCTGCTATCGAGGGACGATGCCGGAAGTGTGACAATGTGGAATGAACGGAACGACTGGAGGGAATGTGCGACGAGGAAGATGGGCCGGCGAGATATGATTTGGTCGATAGACTAGCCAGTAGACTAGCCGGCATACCGGCTGTCATACTGAATGCGGCGCGATGAAGTTTTAAGCGCTGATGGAGTGTACTTGGAGAGATGGAGGGGTAAGTCGAGGACACTGACGAAGTTGCAGCTGATGACGTAAGCGAGTGGCACGCGATTAAAGAGCGCGAGGTGACTAAAGACGGAACGGTCAGTCGAGTACCGATCGTCCGATCACAGGAAGCACAAGCGGATCCAAGTCGCGACAATATCGAGGTGGGCGAGGCCGTCACTATCGAGGCGCGCGACGGGGTCAATATCGAGGCACGCGAGGACTTCAATAACGAGGCACGCGACGCCGAGAGAGAGCACGCCATCATTCCGAGCGCTTTCAAGCCTCAAAGAACCGGCCTGATCCTCTGAAACTCCTCACACCGCCAGCTGGGTTGCTCTCTGCGCCATAGACGCTAGCGATAGGCCCATCTGTGGCACTATGGATCTCCAAGAGACCACGGGGCTCCAGACCAGAACAGACGAGTGGCACTAATAAAAGATATCGGTCTGGAGTTATTATGAGCTTCGTTACTGCGTACAGTTATAAAATAAATTGAATGGTCATACTGTGTGAGTTTTATCATGTTTCAAGTTCAGTACAGTTCAGACTCGACCACGAATTACCGATGTTGAATGGGCCAGGCAAGGAAGCAGCACTCGGCGCTGCTTGGTCGAACCAAAAATCTGGTTTGATACAAACTGATTGAGGCACAGGCTGATTCACTGGCAAGCTTCTTTCCTTGATTGACTGACTGGTTCGCTGCCAAGCCTAGGAAAAATCTCTTAGAGAGGTGCGGAAGTCGGACCTGAGCCCGAACCGACGTGTGCTACGTCATTTTGCGGCGCACACCGCACGCTCGCAAACACCAAGGGGGGAGGTGGTGGAAAAAACAAGAGACGAAACGCTCTAAATCGCACAGAAACGCATCTCACCGTAAAGAAAGGAACTCTTATGACGATTCCTGAGGGACGTGCGCGAGGTGATGGGCTGAGGTAGCTAGCCCTCAAAAGGTCAGGCAAATTCACATTTGTGATTCGCCCACCCCGAACCCAACCTGGCGTGATGGTTTGGTGAGTGGCTTGGCAAATCGTGCGTCACACGGGGACTCACGACAACCGTCACCCAGGTCAGGGCTCAGCAGGGGGTCAGGTCAGGTGTGTGCTGAAACGGGATCAGCGCGTGAGAGTTTGCAAGGTCTCCCAGAAGCAGGAATTCCGAGTCACTACTTTCTTCGCACGCCAAGTCATGTCTGCCTGTAGAGGACTAGTACAAAATCAGAGAGTATTTCCGCGGGAGCTCGTTTCTCCCGCGTTCTTCTAGTGCCGACAAAGCTGTTTATTATAATAAAACACCCTCCGTTCGCGCAGTTGCGTCGAGCATTTCGTTTCTTCTCCCAGCGAGAGCGGCACCGGTCCTGCCGACGAAGCGGTTCACATAGAAGCATTGACCGCTCACGCATTCCCGTGATACCTTTCGTGCCTTTTCCTTTGCGCGGAGAGTTCTGAGTCGACTTAGAAGTCCCTTACAATAGAAACACCGTCCGTTCTCGCATTCGCGTCAAACCTTGTCGTATCTTCTCCTATGCGCGGAGAGCTCGGCATGGGGTGGGCCGCGCCGCGTCGTTCCGTGGCGTCAATTTCCGCGTTAGTAGTCGCCGCGCTTCTCGTTAGCATCCCTCCGAGGGTCTCTTTCGCGGCCACGGACCCCGCTCAAGGTAGGGAGATATATCCCACTCTCGTTGACGTAATCCTGGCTCGATCTTTATGACGGAATGGTGTTTCGAGGTTAGCAACCGAAATTTACCATTGTAGAGGAAAGTGTCCGCGCCTTGCAGGTCGTTGTGAGAAATTTAATTAACGACCTCTGAAATAACCCCCTTTCTTCTACAGAGGTCTAGGGCACGGGTGTTATGACAGAAAGTAGCGCGTGACTTCGCGCCAAGGGCTTAACCGTGAGGCTCGCGCTTTCTCTTCCGAAACCCCTGTTTAGCTCCCCATTCGTCGGGTTTGCTGCCACTTCTCCGCAGCTGCTGCTTTTCGGAAATCCCTTTACTCCGCTCGGCAATCCCCATGCTCTTCTCGGCAATCCCTATGCTCTTTCGGCAATCCCTATGCTCCCTTCGGTAATCCCTATGCATCCACTGCCATCACTCTCACCCCCACAGTGGCCATTTTACAGCAGATTGCGGGCCTGGGGAACGCTAACGACGCGCCATTGAACACGTGGACGGGCGGCGACCCCTGTGGGCACTCACGTTCAGATTCCCTTCCCCCATCACCCCTACACTCACGTTCATGCGTGCACCCCACAGTGGCCATTCTACAGCAGCTTGCGGGCCTGGGGAACGCTACCAACGCACCCTTCAACACGTGGACGGGCGGCGACCCTTGTGGGGCGGCATGGGATGGCGTCAGGTGCTCCGCTGGAGGTGGCGGTTACGACGTGGTTACCGAGCTGTGAGTGTCATTGTGAGGGTAGGTCCCCCGAGTGCAGCTGCTGCTAGTGATGTTTGAGTTGACTCAAGAGTCACACGCTGCTAGGGCCGGCGTTGGGTGCTCCGCTGGCAGAGGCGGTTACAACGTGGTTACTGAACTGTGAGTGTCGTTGCGAAAGTAGGCCTCGAGTGCAGTGGCTGGTGATTCTGAGTCGACTCAAGAGTTGCGTGCTGCTTGGGATGGCGTCAGCATCAGGTGCTCTGCTGGCGGTGGCGGTTACGAACTACGTGGTTACCAAACTGTGAGTGTCGTTGTGAGGGCAGGTCCCGCGTGCAGCGACTGCAGCTGCTAGTGACTTCGAGTTGACGCAATGGTCACGGGCGGGCGGCGTGGGCCAGCAGGCAGGTGCCCTGCTAGCGGAGGCGGTTACGACGTGGTTACCGCACTGCAAGTGCACCTGTGAGCCTAGCTGTGAATGCACCTGCGTGTGTAGCTGTCAGTGAGTGCAGCTGCTAGTGATGTTTGATTTGTCTCAAAGGTCACGTGCTGCTTGGGCCGGCGGGCAGGTGCCCTGCTGACGGAGGCGGTTGCGATGTGGTTACTGGACTGTGAGTGCATCTGTGAGAGTGTAGCTCGAGGGTAGGTGCGAGAGGGTAGGTGCGAGAGAGTAGGTGCGAGAGGGTAGCTGCGAGAGAGTAGGTGCGAGAGGGTAGGTGCGAGAGAGTAGGTGCGAGAGGGTAGGTGCGAGAGGGTAGGTGCGAGAGAGTAGGTGCGAGAGGGTAGGTGCGAGAGAGTAGGTGCGAGAGGGTAGGTGCGAGAGAGTAGGTGTGAGAGGGTAGGTGCGAGAGAGTAGGTGCGAGAGAGTAGGTGCGAGAGAGTAGGTGCGAGAGGGTAGGTGGGAGGGTAGGTGCGAGGGTAGGTGGGAGGGTAGGTGGGAGGGTAGGTGCGAGGGTAGGTGCGAGGGTAGGTGCGAGGGTAGGTGTGAGAGGGTAGGTGCGAGGGTAGGTATGAGAGGGTAGGTGCGAGTGTAGTGCTAGTGCCGGTGCATGGTCTCGATTAGAGTAAACTGTTTTCGCCCACAATTTCACTCTCTCATCCCCTCTCTCCCTCCCGCGCCTCCTCTTGTCTTTCTCCTCCTCTTGACCACACTCCACCATCTCTCTCAAAGATGCAGACCAAACTAGTGTTTCGCCTTGTGAGGCGCCTCAAAACGCGTCCTCCCACTCATCTCCCGCCTCCTCCCCTTCCCCCCGTCCACCAGCTTTCTCGAGGATGCAAATCTGACTGGCACTTGGCCTTTTCTCTCCCCCTTCCTCCTCCTCCCCTTCCCCTTATTACCAGCTTTCTCGAGGATGCAAATCTGACTGGCACTTGGCCTTTTCTCTCCCCCTTGCTCCTCCTCCCCTTCCCCTTATTACCAGCTTTCTCGAGGATGCAAATCTGACTGGCACTTGGCCTTTTCTCTCCCCCTTCCTCCTCCTCCCCTTCCCCTTATTACCAGCTTTCTCGAGGATGCAAATCTGACTGGCACTTGGCCTTTTCTCTCCCCCTTCCTCCTCCTCCCCTTCCCCTTATTACCAGCTTTCTCGAGGATGCAAATCTGACTGGCACCTTGCCGCCGTCCCTCTTCGACCTCACAACCCTACACACTATGTGAGCTCTCTTTCCTCCCCCCTCCCCTTCTCGCCGTGCCTCTTCGACCTCACAACCCTACACACTATGTGAGCTCCCTTCCTGTCCCCCTCCCCATCCCTCCTTCCTTTCTGCTCCAATCCCCATTCTCTGCTTCCTTTCCAATACTTCTCTCTCTCTCCACTTACCTTCCCTCCACTCCTCTCTCTCCACTTACCTTCCCTCCACTCCTCTCTCTCCACTTACCTTCCCTCCACTCCTCTCTCTCCACTTACCTTCCCTCCACTCCTCTCTCTCCACTTACCTCCCCTCCACTCCTCTCTCTCCACTTACCTTCCCCTCCACTCCTCTCTCCACTTACCTTTCCTCCACTCCTCTCTCTCCACTTACCTTCCCTCCACTCCTCTCTCTCCACTTACCTTCCCTCCACTCCTCTCTCTCCACTTACCTTCCCCTCCACTCCTTTCTTTTCACTTACCTTCCCCTTCACTCCTTTCTTTTCACTTACCTTCCCCTCCACTCCTTTCTTTTCACTTACCTTCCCCTCCACTCCTTTCTTTTCACTTACCCTCCCCTTAAATTCTCTCCCACCTCCCACCTTCCTCTACAATCTTTTCCCCGTCACCCTCTTCCTGGATTCCCTTGTCAACTGGTATCCAACTCCCTTCCAAACCACACCTTGCCCTCCTTTCAGCCACCCCCCCGTGCGCCTCGTTCTCCTCCTTTCTTTCTACTCTTCCCCCCGCCCGCCCCCTACAGCAGCCTCGGCAAGAACCCAGGACTCCAGGGCTCCTTTGTCTCCCATCCCATCCCTCCCCCCACCCACCACTTCCCCCCCAAACCCTTGCCCCCTCTCCGCACCCCCCGCCCGGCCCCCTACAGCAGCCTCGGCAAGAACCCAGGACTCCAGGGCTCCTTTGCACCGCAGCCATGTGTCTTTCTTTCCAACCACTATCCCCCTCTCCCCTCCCCTGCTCCGCCCCCCCTACAGCAGCCTCGGCAAGAACCCACGACTCCAGGGCTCCTTTGCACCGCAGCATTTCGTACTTGTCTCTATACCCCCCTCCCCGCCCCTTCCCCCGCCCACCAATCCCCCCCCCCAACCCCTCCCCCTCCCCCCCACCAGCAACCTGGGGAAGAACCCAGCCCTTCAGGGCTCCCTCGCTTTACAGCCATGAGTGTTTGTCTCGCCATCCCCCCACCCGACCACTCTCACCCTCTCCCCTCCCCTCCCCCTCACCCCTTCTCCGCCTCCCCACCAGCAACCTGGGCAAGAACCCAGGCCTTCAGGGCTCCATCCCAACAAGCATTGGAAACCTCGTGCAACTGACCATGCTGTAAGTGTATACTGTAGCTTTTCAACCTTTGTAACGAACACAGACGCAGCAGATGCTACATTTTTTCATGTAAAAAATCGACTTCCAAAAAGCATGAAAAAATGAAGAAGGTATAACCAATGGTTTAAGAACGCATTCCTCCTCGTCGGATGAATCTCTTCAAACCGTGGTGGGGGTGCTGTGCTGCTGGGTTGTTTCTCGCCAGCACCCACTTGCCCCACTTGACCCACTTGACCCACTTTGGAAGGAAGGAAGGACCACGCTGGTGGTTTGTTACCTTTGTCACCACCACACCACCCTAACCCCCTTCATCTCGCCTTTTGAGACGTTTCAAAAGTTTTGAGACGCTTGAGAGATCTACTTTGAAAGGACCACGCTGGTTGTTGCCTTTCCCCTCCTCGGCTCGAGAGCCATCAAGCTTTATTACTAGGGTATAGGGCTTTAACTATAAGGCAAGTTACTCACAAGTGCTATCCATATTAACGTCCCCACCTGCTGTTCCCCTCTCCCGCGCTCGCCCCACCTCCCTCTCCCAGCAACATGCAGGGCTGCAGCCTTTCCGGCCCCGTGCCCCCCTCCATAGGCAGCCTCACCCAACTAATCTACTTCCTCGTGCCTCAGAACCACCTCCCAGGCGCCCCCTGTGTGCCCCCCCTCTCCTCCCCCCCCCCCAAGCAACATGCAGGGCTGCAATCTCTCCGGCCCCGTCCCCCCTCCATAGGCAACCTGACCTAACTCGTCTACTTCCTGGCACCCCCTGTGTCCCCCACGTCCCTCCCTCCCCCCCCCCCCCCCCCCCTCCCCAGCAACATGCAGGGCTGCAATCTCACCGGCCCTGTTCCCCCTTCCATAGGCAACCTGACCCAACTCGTCTACTTCCTCATGGCTCAGAACCAGCTTTCCGGGCCTCTGCCGGACCAGTTTGGGCTGCTGCCGAACCTGTTTCAGATCGACATTATTGACAATCAGTTTAACGGCACTCTGCCCACGTTCGCCGGGGCGTCTAATTTAGTGCACCTGTGAGTATTGATCTCCCGACCTTTGAGTTGAATTGAGTGTTGTGTCACCCCCCGCTAGGCCATTTGAGTTGTTGCTGGAGTGAAAGGCTGTATATACCGTCTCTTCTGTCTCTTCATTTTCCCCCTCTCGCTTTCCTCGTTTCTAGAATTCAACGACAGTTTCTTTTTACGCATCCCATTATCCATCCGCTTACCCTCCCGCTTATCCTTCCCCATACCCATCCCATTAGGCTTTCCCTTCTTCCTTCCTCCTCCCATCCCCCTCCTTCCGTCCCCTCCATCCTCTCCCCCCCTCGACCCGTCAGCCACATGAGTTACAATACAATCACCTCGCCTCCAATCCTTTTGAAATCAAGTTCTGAGACTTTCCTCCTTCCCCCTCTTTCTTCCCCCTCCCCCCCCCCCCCCCCCCCCCTCCTTTCGCCCTCACCCCTGTCAGCCACATGAGTCGTAATCACCTCTCATCCGTCCCTGCTGAAATTGCACAGTTGCCGAGCCTACAGCATTTGTGAGTTTCCTTGCAGCCTATGGCACTCACATGTTTTTTAGTTTCTCCTTTTTGTTCTTATTGCTGAGCAAGCATACAGCATCTGTTTCGTTTTTTCGAGTCAACTGTAGAAGCCTGCCAGTTTTACATTCTTCACAGTCTTCACAGTAGGCTTCTCTCCTCCTCAAATATTCCATCTTCACAACCCTTCCCGCCTTTCGCTCTCCTCTTTTTGCCACCAGCCACACTACATGAACCGTGCCAACAACCACACTGCGTGCACCGCCCTGCTTTCCCCTCCCTCTGGCAGAATCGTGGACGGCAACCGCATCGTCCAGCCGTTCCCCCTCTCCCTCAACGGATCGGCTCTCAGTGTTATGTGCGTGCCTGAGTGTGTGTGGCAGTGTCACCTGGAATGTGCATTCGACAGTGATGTGATGTTGTGTGCATTGTGCATGCCCCCCCACCCCAGCGCCCAGCCCTCTCTTTTCCTATTCTCTGGTTCGTTCATGTCAATCCGAAACAGACACTCTTATTCATCGTTAGTACCAATAACATAGTTTAATTTAATTTGATCTGATTTGCACATCGATCATTCTCAGCCATTCTTTGTCCCGCCGGGTTAGCAGAGCTGGCTGGCTGGCTGCTTGGTTAGTAACGGCAGCATTCTTTTCCTTTGTAGGATCACTCGTTTTACCTTGTTTCACTTCCTTTCACCCACTCATTCGCGTTGCCCCACTGCTCATGCCACAGTTATTGGAGTGGCAACACCATCACCGAGTCTCTGCCTTTGGTCTGGAATCTTCCAAACCTGAAGGACTTGTGAGTTCCCCCCGCCCACCCCCCCTCTTGAAAACATTCCTTGTCTTGGAGGAAGCTACGTGTCTCCGTCACTCGTGAAAAAAATGTGTTTTTGAGACGTCTCAAAAATACCTTTTTTTCACGTGCCCGCGGCCCGCCCACCCCCCTCTCGGGAACATTCCTTGCCTTGGATGATACGTGTTTCCAACACTCTTTCCCCCAACCCCCCCCTCTTGTTCGCCACACGCCTGCCTGCCTTTGCATAAGCGCACACAGCAAGCCTGGTGCTAGCTCAGTAACTGCAGCGTTGGAGAGAATACATTCCCATTCGCCCATCTCTCTCATCGCACGTCCCTCCCTGTGCCCCACTATGCAACACACTGCACCCACCCACCATGCACTCATCATCATCAATCCACCATGCATCGCCCATCCACCCACCATGCACTCATCGTCATCAATCCACCATGCATCGCCCATCCACCCACCATGCGTGCAGCCTGGCCAGCAACTGCAGCATTCCAGAACAGGTCCTGCCGTCCTTCCCTCAGTCCAAGGTCCTCGCCAATCTGTGAGTCCCTATACCAACCAGTCCGTGAGTCCCTTTGTATAGAGACATGTTTTGAGGCGCCTCAAAGCAGGTCAGAGCAGGTTCTGCCGTCCTTCCCTCAGTCCAAGGTCCTCGCCAATCTGTGAGTCCCTTTTGCCCATCTGTGAGTCGCGTTTGCCAATCTGTCAGCTTCTTGTTCACAGCCAGAAATTACCTTGCCCTGAATTTCCTTGCTACCAGTATGACCTTTACTGTCTTTGCTGTCCTTTCCCTCTCTTCCCATCTCATCATACCCTCCTCCAACCCCTGCCCCGCCGTTTTCCTTTGCTCTCTTGCATGCATTCTACCCATTCTCTCCCCAACACCCAACAACAACCCCCACCTTCTTCCCCCCCCCCCTCCCCCCCCTCTCCTCCTCCCTCCCCCCTCTCCTCCTTCGTCTCTTTGCCGTTTCGTCATTCTCCTCCGCCCCTCGACCCTCCTCTACCTCCCCACTCTTGCGTGGCAAATAACCCGGAAAAAACATTCATAACCGATTCCTCCTCGGGTCCCTTGCCTCTGGCCGCATTGATGCCTCTGGCCGCATTGATGCCTCTGGCCGCATTGATGCCTCTGGCCGCATTGAGGCACATCAACTAGCCCCCCGTCACCCCTCATTGAGGCACATCAACTAGCCCCCGTCACCCCTCTTCCTTTCCTCCTCCTTCCAGAGACTTGAGTCGGAACAAATTCGGGGGGTCGGTTCCTGGCTCTCTTTTCACAGACAACCCCAACTTGGTCAACCTGTGAGTGGAGGAAGCAAAGAGGTTGTTGTGAGTGCAGCTCGCAAGGCAGCAGGTCAGTCTGGGGGTGCAGCAGCAAGCAAGCAGACTAATCAGCCTGTAAGTCTGGAAAGAACCACATGCTGACCGTCTGCTGGTTACCACTTGGAGTCATGTAACTGTGAGGTTGTGGCTAGGATTAGCCTGTTGAGACGGATATGGGTTCTGGAGATGCTTTGAGTCAGCAAGCACAAAAATTCCGACCTGGGTGTAGGGTGAGGAAAGAGAGAAGCATGTGATTGCTAGTAGTTTTTTCCGATTGATTGTGGTCACTTCAAATTGTTAGTAAATGGGCTGAAAATCCTAGACATTCTAGTTTGAGTCACTCTCTCCCTCCACCCCATTTTTCCCTCTCGCATGCCCCCTCCCTCCTTGCATCCCCCTGTTCCTCTCTATCCCGCCCTCCTCCTTTTTCCCTCTCCAACCCAACTCTCCCTCTCCTCCTCAGCAACCTCGCCAACAACGCTCTAGAGTACGCCCTCCCTATTGACATCAACCAGGCAGCCAACCTGCAGTCTCTGTAAGCCAAGCAACGCTTCCTCCCCTGCTTGTACACCTCCCCCTAGGCATCAGGTAACTCTTGAGTCGACTCAGTACTCACCTCGCTCTAGAGTACGCCCTCCCAGCTGACATCACCCAGGCAGCCAACCTGCAATCGCTGTAAGCCCGCCCACCAACGCTGCCGGCCCTGTAAGTTCCCCTCCTGTGCAACTGAGGACTGTTTCCCTTGATGATTGTACAACAATGTGACTTTTGAGCCGACTCAAAGACACCTCAAATATCACTCCTGTGCAACTAATTGTACAGCAATCAATCAGCGACCAGCCAGCCAGCCCCCAAGTGTGCTTTTCCCTTCTCCATCAACCTCCTCTCTTCATACGCTCCGTGTTGTCGTATCCTCTCCCCTCTCCTCTTCCCTGCATTTTCCTCTGCTTCTTTGCGTTCTGTCCTCTCCTCCCCTTACGCCACCCCCTCACAGTTTCCTCTGGGGCAATAGCCTCAAAAGCAAGCTACCAAACCTGTCTGTCAGGCTTGAGCAAGGCAGTGTAACTCGCCTTCTATGATAACCTCATACTCATTCTGTTTTTCTAGAATTCTCAAAAAACAGCAAAAAAAAACAAACCCAAACCTGTCTGTCAGGCTTGAGCAAGGCAGTTTCACTCTCCTTCTATGATAACCTCATACTCATCAGGGCCGTGTCAAGAAAGCTGTCTAACCCTTACCTTTCATACTCTCCTACTCCTGGCCCCCTTCCCCCCAACCCGCTCCTCTCCTCATGCATTCTGTTCCATGCTGTTCTTTTCCCTTTGCCCCCTGTCCCTCTCAACACTCGCAGCTTCCTCTCGGGCAATCGCCTCACAGGCAGGCTGCCAGACCTCTCAGGGCTGAGCAATGCAGTGTCTCTCTCCTTTTACGACAACCTCCTAACCGGTCCTCTGCCCCGCCTCAACCGCTCCGACATCACCCTGCAGTGAGTGCCCTCCCTTGCTAAACTTTGCGCTGCAGTGAGTGACGTCTAAGTCAGGTTCAAGAGTCGCTTTGAGTGGACTCAAACCAAATGACAGCAACCTCCTCTCGGGCCTTCTGCCCCGCCTCAACCGCTCCGACATCACCCTGCAGTGAGTGACGTCTTAGTCAACTCTCAAGAGTCCCTCTGCTTTGAGTCCACTCAACCTCCTCTCGGGCCCTCTGCCCCGCCTCAACCGCTCCACATCACATTGCAGTGAGTGCCCTCTCTTTCTCACAGCATTCAGCACTGCAGGGGGGGCATCATATAAGTGCTTCCTTTGAATCAACTCAACAGCAACCTCCTCTCGGTCCCTCTCAACGCTGCTCGCCCTACACCGTCGACAAGCAAGCCCCCAGCCGACCTCACCCAGTACACCGCACCCTCCTTCTGCCAGGGCTTCGCCTGCCAGGGCGACCTCTACAGCCGCCCAGATCTGCCTGAGGCTGCTCTGAAACACCTATTTTTGCCCTCTCTTCCCATCCTCCCCCCTTCTTCCGTCCCCACCTCCTCGCCCTTCCCTACCCCTCCCTCCAGGCTGTACGGCAACCCTCTCTGCTCGCCCTATACCCTTGAAAAGCAAGCCCCCTGCTCCCCGCCAGCGGACCTCACCCAGTACACCGCACCCTCCTTCTGTCAGGGCTTCGCGTGCCAGGGCGACCTCTACAGCCCCAGCAAGCCGCTCTTTGAGCAGTCCAGCCTCTGCCTCTGCGTGTGCGTGTCGCCGCTGCTCTCAACCACACATCTTCTCCCTCTCCTCTCCATCCCCTCCCCTCCGTCCCCACCTCCCTCCCCTGCCCATCCCCCCCCCCCCCAGGCTATACGGCAATCCGCTCTGCTCGCCCTACACTCCCGACAAGCAAGCCCCATGCGCGCCCCCAGCCGACCTCACCCAGTACACCGCACCCTCCTTCTGCCAAGGCTTCGCCTGCCAGGGCGACCTCTACAGCCCCAGCATGCCGCTCTTTCAGCAGTCCAGTCTCTGCGTGTGCGTGTCGCCGCTGCGCGCTGATGTGGCGCTCTATCTGTCGTCCTACGTGGTGTTTAATCAAGCGCTTGTGGACCGGCTTGAGGAGATTCTGTTTCAGGAGCTGGTTGGGGGGAAGTTTGGGCTCAATATCACGAAATCGCAGGTGAGGTTCTCAATGACATCTCATGAACAGGGGTGTGTATTGCGAATCACTCTCTCTGTTGTCCTACGTGTCGCTTGTGGATCGGCTTGAGGAGATTCTGTTTCAGGAGCTCGTCGGCGGGAAGTTTGGGCTCAATATCACCAAATCACAGGTGAGCCTTTCGATTCGGTAGGCGTGTACTGTCTGTAGTATATCTTGTAGTACAGGAGGAATTTTACTGTCTATCTTTTGCTTTAAGTCCTAGTCAAGTTTGCAGCTCGCTGAGAAGAATGTCACAAGACCGATTGTCTGTAGTATATCTTGTAGATCGTGCTTGAGGCGCTTGGGAAGACCCTAAACCCTAATTTTCTTTTCCTCACCCTTTTCCCCCATTCCCCTCCCCCTCCCCCAGATCCCTGTACAGCCACCAAGAGCCCCTCAACTCTCCCATCCCTTTCCTCCACCTTCGCCTCGGACCACACCACCCACGAGTCCAGTCCACCACCACCCCTTGCTTCGCTCCCGCTCCAAACACCCGTCTCCTTTCCCCTCCCCGTCTCCCCTCCCCCAGGTCCTAATCTCAGCCATCAAGAGCCCCTCCTCGCTCCCCTCCCTCGCCTCCACCTTCGCATCGGACCACACCACCCACGAGTCCACCACCACCGTCTCCATCCTCTTCTTCCCGCCCGCCGGCGACGACAGCTGGTACCCGCGCGACCTCCCAAAGGGCATCAAGCAGGCGCTCTCGCTGCGCAACACCGATCCCACACAGCAGATGAACCTGAGTGAATTTGGGTCGATCCTCTCTGTGCACTTCCACGGCCCTGCACGTGAGTGGGCTGGCTGGGTGATGGCATCTGTTCTGTAGAATCAGGGGTTGTACCTCCCAAGGGGCATCAAGCAGCCGCTCTCGCTGCGCAACACCGACCCCGCTCAGCAGATGAACCTCAGCGAGTTTGGGTCCATTCTCTCCACACACTTCCGCGGCCCCGCGCGTGAGTTGCCTGGGGGTTCGCGTCTGTTCTATGGTTTCGGGGTTTGTACCGAGTAGTGGATGCAGGGATTTTTTTAGAAAAAAAAAAAAAAAAAACTGCAACGTTTCGGGGGTTGTACCGAGTAGTGGATGCGTTCTCGCTGCGCAACACTGACTGACCCCATGATGCGCTCTCGCTGCGCAACACTGACTGACCCCATGATGCGCTCTCGCTGCGCAACACTGACTGACCCCATGATGCGCTCTCGCTGCGCAACACTGACTGACCCCATGATGTGCTCTCGCTGCGCAACACTGACTGACCCCATGATGCGCTCTCGCTGCGCAACACTGACTGACCCCATGATGCGCTCTCGCTGCGCAACACTGACTGACCCCATGATGCGCTCTCGCTGCGCAACACTGACTGACCCCATGATGCGCTCTCGCTGCGCAACACTGACTGACCCCATGATGCGCTCTCGCTGCGCAACACTGACTGACCCCATGATGCGCTCTCGCTGCGCAACACTGACTGACCCCATGATGCGCTTGAGTCTCTGCGAGTTGGCTCCTCTCTTCATACGGTTCCACAATTCCACACAAAGGCTACTTGGTGACTTTTTATCTTTCCTTGTCCTCATATATAGTATATATACATGTATATGTATTATATTCCCTTTTTTCTCCATTACTCTTTCTTAAATACATCAGCATACACACAGCCTTGCACAGCCTCGCATAATCTGGCTTGAGCACCCGCCCCAATGTGGCCGTCTCAGTGTCCCTCTCCTCCTCTTTGTGTGCGCTCTTCTTCCAACCCAACCAACCACCCCACAGCCTACAACCCCTCAGCGCAGCAGTCGTCGTCCGGGCTGGGCACGGGTGCCATCGTGGCCATCTCAGTGTGCTCCGCTGCTGTTGCCATCGTTCTCATTGTGGCTCTGCTCATGCGCCCCTGGGAGAGGCGAGGTGAGGGGGAGAAGGGAAATGAGAGGAAAGAGAGAGGTGATGGGGAGAAGAGAGGTGAGAGAGAGGAGGAGGTGAGGGGGAAGGGAGAGGTGAGAGGAGGCGAGGGTAGGGATGATGTGGAGACTCATTAGAGCGCGGTGCAAAATTTCATTCACGATTCCTCTACTTTCATAAAAACTTACATGAACCTTAAAATTGAACCTTACACGAGCACCCATGAACACTCACGATTCCCACACTTTCATGCAAACTCACAAAATGTCGTGATCTTCACAATTTGGCTCGAAATTGCTCGCCGTCACTCATGGAAACTCCTAAAGACACACAGGATCTCATGAGTGCGCCCCGTCATCAAAGCATACTTATTTCACGAACTGGGAATATTTGAACGTAGAGCGCAATAATGCGCATCTCACAAACCAGAATCATAATTTGAAGGAGAGACTTCATTTTTCTTCGTACTTGGCAAGTAAGCGGTAGATTGACTTGCAAAACATGTTTTACACCAACAAAATCAACCTCTAGGATAGTGCATGGAGACTACAGCACACTGGGTTGAATCAACCTGCAGAGTGCTTCTTGCCCTCGCGCACCCTCCATCCCTCTACCCACTCGTTCTCTCTTCCTTTGTCACTCATCCATGCCCCCCCTACTCGCAGGGTGGAGCAATGCGGGCTACGAAGCACTAGAGGGCATCAACCTGCAGCACGCTCGTTGACCTTCCCCTTCCCTCCCTACCCCCCCCCTCCTCCACTTCATCCGTCTCCCCCATGCTTCACGCCCTCCCAGGGTGGAGCAACGCAGACTACGAGGCGTTGGAGGGCATCAACCTGCAGCACGCCCCTGACCTTCCCTCTCCCTTCCTTTGTCACCTCTTCATCCCCCCCCCCCCGTCCCTCCCCGCCCTCCCTTCCCAGGGTGGAGCAACGCGGACTACGAGGCCTTGGAGGGCATCAACCTGAAGCACGCGCGGCGCTACTCGCTATGGCAACTGGCAGAGGCAACCAACGGCTTTGATGACTCGGCCGTGCTGGGAGAGGGAGGATTTGGCACGGTAAGTGTGAGAGGGAAAGGCTGTTTGTATGGCTTTACTCTGGAAGGTCAACACTGTGAGTGAGGCTTTGCTTGTAAGGATAAAAAATGCTTTGATGGTCTTGGAAGTGCCGGGAAAAGGAGGATTTGGCAAGGTAAGTGCCATGTGTTGCCCCATCGCCCCTACCCCAGGTGTATCAGGGAGTGCTGAACGGTGAGCCCGTGGCGATAAAAAAGGCGAACGAGAAGCGGCGGCACGACGGGTGTACAGGGGGGTTCTTGAGAATGTAACTCTCGTATACGTGTCTCCTTGTCCCTCCCATCCCAGGTGTATCAGGGAGTGCTGAACGGTGAGCCGGTGGCGATAAACAAGGCGAATTAGAAGCGGCGGCATGATGGGTGCGTGTACAGGGGCGTTCTCAGGAATGTACCTATCTCTCGTATTCATGTTTCCCCTGCGCTTCTTCTCCAGGTGTACCGGGGAGTGCTGAACGGTGAGCCGGTGGCGATCAAGAAGGCAAACGAGAAGCGGCGGCACGACGGGGTGGATTTCAAGAACGAGATCGAGATGCTGACGGCGGTGTCACACGGCAACCTGGTGAAGCTCACCGGCTTCTGTGTGGAGAAGGACGAGCAGCTGCTGGTGTTCGAATTCATGGAGGGGGGGGCGCTGGACGCCTGGATCAAAGGTGGGTTCACATTGGGTGTAGTGCGGTCGTGTGCGGTTGTGTGCGGTTGGGTGTGTGGATCAAGGATGTGCTTCTGTGTGGAGAGGGACGAGCAGCTGCTGGTGTTTGAGTTGATGCAGGGGGGGCGCTGGACGCCTGGATCAAAGGTTTGACTTCACTTAGGGATCAAACATTCTGTCTTGACCCTCCTTGAAAACGATTCTCTGTTCCGTCTCCTTTTTTGGGGGGAAGGGGAAGAAGGAGAGGGGAGGCGGCTTTGAATTCACGGAGGGGGTTGCACGGGATGCATCAATTAAAGCTGTGTATCCGACCGTATGTGTAGTTTGTGCTTGGCGGGTTACCAAGTGCAGGTGACGTGAAACAAGTAAGTTTTTGAGACGTCTCACTTGTTTCACTTTTGAGGCGCCTCAAAACTGTTTCACGTGCTCGGCTGGTTACCAAGTGCATGTGTTCCGATATTGGTGCACTTTTTCTCGTCGTTTTGCCACGGTTTTTGTTTCTTGTTTTTTAATTTCATTCACACTCAAAAGCCCCACATTCACTTCCTGATCGTGTGTTGTGCAACCTACTTGCTTTACATACGTGAACAGGAAAGACAGGGCGCGTTTTATCATGGAAGGAGAGGATGCGGATTGCTCTTGATGCGGCGAGTGCGCTGCACTACTTACACAAGGAGATGAGGCCCGGCATCATCCACCGCGATATCAAGGTATGTGCTGCCACACATACATACAGTACTAGCTATCTATGAAATGGATATGGTACCATCCACTTACACAAGGAGATGAGGCCCGGCGTCATCCACCGCGATATCAAGGTGCGTTGTCTGCCTTACAGTAGTATCTGTTATCTACATGTCTTCAACAATAACGCTACTAGCAAGGTGTGCAACCGTCCGCGTGTAGGTATTTTGGCAATGTCAGGAAGCCGTGTGTAACCAACCACTTGTAACCATTTCTTTGCAATGTGTCAAAGCTTATTTGCTTGTTACATCATCAAAGTTTGCAGCCCATGCATGTACCTCCATTCCTTTCTTCTGTGATCATATTTCCACCGTTCTTAATTTGATAATTTCTTTCTTTTGTCTTTTTTCTCCCCCTCTCTCTCCTCTCCCCCCCAGCCCGCCAACATTCTGCTGACGGCACCTCTCGAAGCCAAGGTGGCGGACTTTGGCATTTCCAAGTCGCTGCCAGAAAAGGGAGAGCTGGTGCAGGAGGAAATCATTGGCAGCAAGGTGAGATGATTGAAACCACATGCTCAATAAACTGTGGGTTTTTTTTCTTTCTTTCTTTCTTTTTTTCTTTTTTTCTATTTCGTTGAAACCACAAACAGACCCTGCTCCACGTTTTGTGAGTCTAACTGCGGTTTTTTTTTTTTTGGTACGTTTCTGTTGTGTGTGTGTGTGTGTGTGTGTGTGTGTGTGTGTGTGTGTGTGTGTGTGTGTTTTTTTTTTTCTTTTCTTTTTTTCTCACATTTGTCAGGGCTACATCGACCCACACTTTGCTGTATCAGAGGTGCTAACGGAGCGCAGTGACGTGTTCAGCTTCGGGGTGGTGCTGCTGCAGCTGGCCACAGGGCAGCCGCCCGTCATTCAGGGAGTGCCGCTCAGCCAGGTCGTGCTGCACCTCGCCTTCGGTCCGCAAGGCCTCTCCGCTGCTGTCGACCCCAAACTCTCCCACTTCCTCCGTGCCCGGGGGGATCCCACTGCTGCTGCTGCTCCAGCTGCTGCCGCTGTTGCTGCTGCTTCTGCCGCCGTTGCAAAAACTAGCTCTACTGGTGCTGCTGCCGCTGCTGCCGCTGCCGGTGCTGCTGCTGCCGCTGCTGCGGGTGGGGAAGTGAGTGCAGGGGAGATGGTGGAGGGGTTGGAGGAGACGTTTGGCACGTTCCTGCGGGTGGCGCTGTGGTGCACGGCAGAGCACCCCTCGCTTCGTCCCGACATGGAGCAGGTCGTATCTGCGCTGCGCAGCATTAGAGACCAACTCCGGGCGTTATGTGGGGGAGGCACTGCTGCTGACGGATCACTTCCCCACCATGCCACTCCTGCAGCAGCAGCAGGTGCTGGTGCTGCTGCTGCTGTGGGGCCTGCAGGAGCAATCCCAGGTGGCGCCAATGGTTACAACGCAGCTGCTGGTAACCCGCATATGAAATATCACCCGAATGCCGGTGCCCCTGGTACTGCCGGTGGTGCTGGTGGTGGCGTTGGTGGTGCTGCTACTGGCGGGTACACCACAGGTGCAGCGGCAGCGTCAGCAGCAGCAGCGTTCAGCCCCGTGGGGGGTAGATCCCCTGAGACTGGGCTCACAGGGGTGCCGTCTAGTATGACCACTTTATGGAATCCGATGGGAGGTTCTTCGTCCGGTCAACCGGGGTCAAACTGGTCAAACCTGGGTGAGGAGCAGACGACGTTGATGGACGGGTATGGCGACACAGGCACACAGAACCACACCTTGACGGGACCCCGGGCCCGATAGTACCATAGGTGGTGCGTGGCTGAGTCGACTCAAAAGTCGTTGGGTGTGGTAACACAGGCACACAGATCCACACCCTGACAGGGTCGCGTGCCCGATAAGTGGCAATTGAGGTAGGTGGTGCATGGGAAGTTGTGGAGGCCTGGCGGCTTCGTCGGGTCAACCGGGGTCAAACTTGGGGAAGGAGCAGACGATGTTGATGGATGGGTATGCAGGCAGAACCACACACTGACCTGGGTGTGCTGCTCGATAGACAAGACAGTCCCTGAGATAGGTGATGGATGTGACAGTTGGAGGGGTGTTTGGTTCCAAGCTACGTTTCAAATAGCCAGACATTGATGGGCTTTCTTCCTGTGCTCAATACGGTATGTCACGTGCATCTTATTTGTTTATTTTGTTTCCAAGCCATGTTCCAGGGTGTGGTGTCCAATTGGTGGTGCAGAAGCAGAGGGTAAAAAAAGAGTGGTGTTCCCGCCCGACACGAATGGAGTAACTGTATCAGACCCAGGTTCTACGGTAATCTCACAAAATTCCGGTGCAGTACCCTATAAAAGCAACGCGGTAGCAGAAGCTGCAACCATGTACGTGTACTTGTACGATGCATACAGATACCGTAGATAGTATTACAGTAGAGTAGGGGGCTGTTACTACTTAGTTACATTTTGTATGGAAAAAAAAACATAATAACATTATGTTTATATAAGTTTTACTGTACCAATACCCCCCCTTTAAGCCCTTGTAACATGTAACACCCTCATCATAGTGCTGCGATGACGGATATGACGGCTTTGAGTTGCGCTGCGACAAAGCAACCATGCCCGGCCCGCTTGCGAAATGGAGGAGTATACAGAGCCTGCACAGGTTTTGATTTGAGACGTCTCAAAAATGGAGTAAGGAGCACAAGCCAACAGAAGTCGATAACGCAGCACTACCGGGCAGGGGGGCCTGTGAGGGTCTGATCTGATGGTGCGTGCCAGTGTCATCATACCCATCCTCGTGCGACGAGTCTATTTCTGAGCCAACTAAAAAATATACTCACTATCGGGCATCGGGGCCTGTGAGGGTCTGATTGTGCGTGCCTGTGTCATCATACCCATCCACCCCTCCCTGCTCCACCTCAAAGTTTGACCAGTTTGACCCGGGTTGACCAGTGGAAGCAGGCACGTGACTCCAGAGAGTTGACAGGCTGGCAGGTCCCCTTGTGAGCCCACTCTCAGGTGACCGTGTGGCAGAGGAATATGCTCCTGCTACTGCACTGCTGGTACGACTGGCGCCACTTGGTGACTTTTGAGTCGACTCACATGCTCCTGCTACTGCACTGCCGGTACGACTGGCAAACGATGGGGCAGCAGAACCGTAACCGCTGGCGCCACTTGGGACTGCCCCTACAAAGCCCACAGGAGTGCCTCCCCCAGGTAGCGCCCGGAGGTGGTCCCTGATGCTGCGCAGCTCAGATATGACCTGCTCCATGTCGGGACGAAGCGAGGGGTGCTCTGCCGTGCACCACAGCGCCACCCGCAGGAACGTGCCAAACGTTTCCTCCAACCCCGCTACCATCTCCCCTGCACTCACTTCCCCTCCAGCCCCATTGCCAGCACCACTACCAGCAGCACTGTGATAGGAAGCACCGTTTGATGCAACAGCAGTAGGAAAAAGACCCCCAGCAGCAGTAGCAGTGGCTAGAAGCTCAGAGAGTTTGGGGTCGATGGCGGCGGGCAGACCGTCTTGGCCGAAGGCGAGGTGCAGCACGACCTGGCTGAGTGGCACTCCCTGAATGACGGGCGGCTGCCCCGTGGCCAGCTGCAGCAGCACCACCCCGAAGCTGAACACGTCACTGCGCTCCGTCAGCTCCGCCGATACAGCAAATTGCGGGTCTATGTAGCCCTGACAGTAGAGAGGGTAGGAGATGGGAGGGTAGGAGAAGGGGAGAGGGGGGAAGAGAGCGGAATGGGAAGCTGAACACGTCACTGCGCTCCGTCAGCACCTCTGACACAGCAAAGTGTGGGTCGATGTAGCCCTGACAGTAGAGAGGGTAGGAGATGGGAGGTTGACAGCATAGTGACTTGACTGTGCAAAGTGTGGGTCTATGTAGCCCTGACAGTAGAGAGGGTAGGAGATGGGAGGTTGGCAGCATAGTGACTTGACTGTGCAAAGTGTGGGTCTATGTAGCCCTGACAGTAGAGAGGGTAGGAGATGGGAGGTTGACAGCATAGTGACTTGACTGTGCAAAGTGTGGGTCTATGTAGCCCTGACAGTAGAGAGGGTAGGAGATGGGAGGTTGACAGCATAGTGACTTGACTGTGCAAAGTGTGGGTCGATGTAGCCCTGACAGTAGAGAGGGTAGGAGATGGGAGGTTGGCAGCATAGTGAGTTGAGTTTACTGTGCAAAGTGCGGGTTGAGGTAGCCCTGGAAGAGCGGGGGTGGGGGTGGGGGGGAAGGAAGGGGAAAAGGGGGTGTTGGCAACATGGTTAGTTGACTGCACAAAGTGTGGGCTGATGTAGTCCTGAGGGGGGGGGTGGAGAGGAGAGGAATAGGGGGTTGACAACATAGTGAGTTCGACTGAGAAAAGTGCGGGTCCATGCAGCGTTGGGGAGAAGGGATAGGGATAGGTAGGAGAGAGAAGGGAGACACACATGGGATGCGACTGGAGGATCTAGAGTGCAACTTGAGCAACAAGGCGAGCAAATACTCGTCTCGTTTACTACTCGCTACGGTCGGGGAATGTCGCCTTATGTCAGTAATGCTCGACCAGGAAACATGTACTTGTTTCTTGCTCGGCCAAAAAGGCAGAAAAAAACTACACGCACGTTGATTCTCCTCGCAATTTGTTTACCTACTTCACACGTTCTCAACTTGCTGCCAAAATGACAGTTTGTTTTGTGTATGTGTGTGTGTGTGTGTGTGTGCGTGCGTGTGTGTGTGTGCGTGTTTTTGGGGGGAGGATTGTATTTCTCACCCTGCTGCCGATGATCTCCTCCTGCACCAGCTCGCCCCGTTCTGGCAGCGACTTGGAAATGCCAAAGTCCGCCACCTTGGCTTCAAGAGCCGCTGTCAGCAGAATGTTGGCCGGCTGGGAGGGAGAGGAGAGAGAGGGGGAGAAAAAAGGTAAAAGAAATAAGTCATCAGATGGGAATGGTGGGGATGGTAGCATATTTGTTTTTGAAATACAAGGGATGGCAGCATACCTTAATATCACGGTGGATGATGCCGGGCCTCATCTCCTTGTGCGTGTGAATGGTACCAAATCCATTTCATAGATAGCTACTACTGTATGTATGGCATGGCATGGCATGGCAGCACACACCTTGATATCGCGGTGGATGATGCCGGGCCTCATCTCCTTGTGTAAGTAGTGCAGCGCACTCGCCGCATCAAGAGCAATCCGCATCCTCTCCCTCCACGATAGAACACGCCCCGTCTTACCTGCAATGCCATTCATTAAGGCAGTGGTAAGCAGACTGATTGAAAAGAAAGAAGAATTCTCTCCTTCCATGTTAGAACGCGCCCTGTCTTGCCTGCCGTTTGGCATTCAAGGTAGTGTTTAACAGAATTGAAAAAAAGTACAGGACATTACACACAAATGCTTCCAACAAGGGTTAAGGCAAAATCAAGTGGTGTCAAACCTTGCTCCACACACCTAACCAGCCGTACACAACCGCACTGCATCCAATGGCAACCCACCTTTGATCCAGGCGTCCAGAGCCCCCCCCTCCATGAACTCGAACACCAGCAGCCGGTCCTCCTTCTCCACACAGAAGCACGCCCTTGCTCCACACACCCAACCGCATCCAACCGCACACAACCGCACTGCATCCAATAGCAACCAACCTTTGATCCAGGCGTCCAGCGCCCCCCCCTCCATGAATTCGAACACGAGCAGCTGCTCGTCCTTCTCCACACAGAAGCCGGTGAGCTTCATCAGGTTGCCGTGTGACACCGCCGTCAGCATCTCGATCTCGTTCTTGAAATCCACCCCCGCATGCCGATGCTTCTCCGTCGCTTTCTTTACCGCCACCGACTCGCCGTTGAGAATTCCGTGGTACACCTGATGGGGGGGAGGGGGGGGGGGACGCGTGTGGGACCGATAGGGGAAGGTAGGACCGATGGGGGAAGGGGAAGCATGGCGATGCTTCTCTCCGTCGCTTTCTTTACTGCCACCGACTCACCGTTGAGAATGCCGTGGTACACCTGGTAAAGGGCAAGCGAAGCAATCATACGAGAGATTCCTGAGAAAGCCACCATGCCGATGCTTCTCTATCACCGCCTTTACCACCACCGAATCGCCGTTGAGAATGCCGTGATACACCTGGGGTATACGAGAGGTACATTTCTGGAAACGCCCTCGTACACCTCATCATGCCGATGCTTCTTCTCCGTTGCCTTCTTGATCGCCACCGACTCGCCGTTGAGAATGCCGTGGTACACCTGGGGTAGGGTAGGACCGACGGGGGGAAGGGAAGCATCGTTTCCGACTGAACTCAAATAGCAGATCATGGAGGCGCCTCAGAATAGATATACCAGCTCTTCAGTGAAAGTGCCATGGTATGGGACGGGGCGGACATATATATATATATATATATATATATGTATGTATATTTGAGGCACATAAGGGAATAGTATACCTTATTAGAATGTCATGTATAGACGTGACTTGGCGACGTGCATAGGGAAGGGAGCTCGAAGCTAATTAGCAGCAATGCACAAACGGGGAAGGGGAAAAACGAATTGCTTGGGACAAGATAATAAAGAACAGCAAATGAGATGGATGGAGAGGAGAGAGAAGCAACGGGGAAAATGCGCTATGCCTCAGGATTTGGCCGCAGAGATTGAGCTTGCCGTAACCACCCGTGCCCAGCACTGCCGAGTCGTCAAAGCCGTTGGTTGCCTCTGCCAGTTGTCGCAGCGATCCTTCCCACCTCTCATGCCCTCTCATCTCATGCCCTCCCATGCCGTCTCATCTCATGCCCTCCCATGCCGTCTCATCTCATGCCCTCCCATGCCGTCTCATCTCATGCTCTCCCATGCCCTCTCACACCTACCTTGCCCTCTCACACCTACCTTGCCCTCTCACACCTACCTTGCCCTCTCACACCTACCTTGCCCTCTCACACCTACCTTGCCCTCTCACACCTACCTTGCCCTCTCACACCCACCTTGCCAAATCCTCCCTCTCCCAGCACGGCCGAGTCATCAAAGCCGTTGGTGGCCTCTGCCAGCTGTCGCAGCGAGTAGCGCCGCGCGTGCTGCAGGGTGATGCCCTCCAAGGCCTCGTAGTCCGCGTTGCTCCACCCTGGGTGGGGAGATGAACGTGTGAGAGGGATGGAGGCGGGGCGTGGGGGAAAAGGCTAACGAGGATGCTGCAGGTTGATGCCCTTTAGCGCCTCGTAGTCCGCATGGCTCCACCATGAGGGGTGAGAGGGGGATGAAGGAGCAAGGGGCGGGGGGGAAGCTCAACGGGTGTGTTGCAGGGTGATACCCTCCAGTGCCTCGTGGTCTGCATGGCTCCACCCTGGGTTAGAGTGGGGGAATGAGTGGGAGAGGGCGATGAAAGGGTGAACGGATCGAGGCGCGGAGGGTGGGTGAGTAGCGGCGGGCGTGCTGCAGGGTCATGCCCTCCAAGGCCTTGTGGTCCGCATGGCTCCACCCTGGTTGGGGGACGGGGTGGTGAATGGGTGTGAGGGCAATGAATGGATGAGAGGGATGGAGGGGCGGTGGGTGGGGGGGAAGGTCAACGAGTGCTCCGCATTGCACCACCCACCCTTGGGGGGGGACGGGGTGAAGGGAAGGTCAATAAGAGTGATGCAGGTGAAGTTGCCTCGTGCTCCGCATTGCACCACCCTGCCGTGAGAGGATGAAATGGTGAGAGGGGATTGGAGAAACATGGGTGCGAGCTGATGAATGGATGAAAGGATTTACAGCCTGTTAGGTGCACTCCAGTGCCCGTAACACAAATGAAAATCGCGAGATTTCACTTAAACATAACAGCAAGAGCAACTGAAGGGGCAACAGGGTGGAATAATTGGTAAGTGGAAAGAGGGTTGTCAGTCTGTGAGGATTGGCCTCCCTCTAGCCACATGCGCCATGCCCAATTGTTCTCTACCTCACACACCGTACTCCGCCAGATAAAGGCCCCTAGGGGCCTCTAGTTGTTTGGATTTTTTGTTTTGGGGAGGGAAGAGGGGGGTTATTCGTTTTTTTTGTTATAGCCCCAAGGCTCATTAAAAAGTATAACTTTAGCCCCGAGGCTTATCTGTGGTATATATATATATATATATATTTGCTACACAGAATCTGACATCTTGAAACCGTCTTGGTTCAAAACGACATCCCGACCTGCTCCGAATACCTTCAAGGCTGAAAACCCGTCAGTTTTTAGCCTTAAGAGTCTGCTTTCGGGCGGTGTAAGTCTATATCAGTCGTGTGAGCTGCACGCAGTGATTGAAAACGTTAACTTGGGAAAAACGATGAAGTCGGGAGTTATACACCAAATTGTGCAGAATGTCATAAGTCTAGTAGCTTTAATTGTTTTCATGCGCTGTGTACTGTTGCAATGACTCTGAGACTTGAGGACTTGGTGAAACTATAGTGAAGCACTTTGGAGTTTCAGACGTCGAACAAAATGGGAGTGCAATGACCACGTCACTGCAGTGTGTAGGCACAGCAATGTCCTCCTTAGAATCCTGTTCACCCCTTTTCTTCCACCCACCTCTGTCCTCCCTCCCTCTCCCAAGTCTCCTTCCTCTCACCTTTCCTTTTCCTCTCCCCTTCCCTCACCTTCTCTTCACTACCACCTCTCTCCACACTCTCACCACTCTTCTCCATGAGAGTTATGACAACAGAATCGAAATCTGAGTCGAACAGAAAACCACTCACTTCGCTTCTCCCAGGGGCGCATGAGCAGAGCCACAATGAGGGCGATGGCAACAGCAGCGCAGCACACTGAGATGGCCACGATGGCGCCCGTGCTCAGCCCGGACGAGGCCTGCTGCTGCGATGGGGGGTTGTAGGCTGCACGTGGAAGGAGAGGATCAAAGGAAACGGAGGTGATGGAGAAGACAGAAGAGACAAGTGAGGACAATGAGACGGCCACAATGGCACCTGTGCTGTGCTCGGCCCAGACGCAATCTTCTGTGATGAAGGATTGTAGGCTCCATTTGGAAGGAGAGAAAGGGATGGATACGCAAGTGCAGGTCAAAACTCAAGAGACACGAGAGGGTTAAAGGGGGGAAGCAGAGGAGGGATACCCACAAAAAGGGAAAGTATGCAGATGATAGAAACGGAGACAACCGCCAATGATCAGTGAAGGGGTGGTTACCAAGGTTGGAATAATTCAACTCACACATGATCACATGATCTAATGATCACATGATGACATGATGACATGATCACATGATCACATGATCACATGATCACATGATCACATGATCACGCGCACAAACAAAAACTCAAAACCAGACTCACGTGCCGGGCCGTAGAACCACGTGACTCGAAACAGCAACGAGGTGGTTACCAAGCTTGGAATAATTCAGATCAAACAAACGCATCATCAGGCGTGCCGACAAAAGCATGGAACCAGACTCACGCGCGGGGCCGTAAAATCCCGCGACCTGAAACAGCCCGAAGTTGCCGAGAGCAACGCGCACGGCAATGTCCCGTGAGGTGAGGGCGTTGCGAATGGCCTGAGGGGTGTCTCGCGGGTACCAGCTGCCGTCGCCGCCCGGCGGGAAGAAGAGGAGCGTGATGATGAGCGTGGACTGGTGATCGGCGTGGTCCGAGGCGAAGGTGGAGGCGAGCGAGGAGAGAGAGGCGGGGCTGCTGATGGCCGAGATGAGGAGCTGGTGGGGGGGAGGGGAGGGGAGGGGAGTGTCAGTGTTAGCCCTCAATCTCACATTTTGTACTTGCACTTTTATATCCTAGTGTAGTGTGCACTTTGTGTTGGTTGGCTGTACACCCACATCCCAACCAAACCCAAATGTGATCTCCAAGCAATCTCCAACCCACCAATTGGAGATTGCCTTGGGATTACCCCCAATCCCCTAGGATTGCCCCCGATTCTCTCCCCATCCTTGCCTTGCCCATTTCCGATGTACTTAAAGAGCCTTGAGCTCATTACTAATGTATGGATTCTAAGCTCAAATTTTGACATGGTATCAGAGCGTTTCAACCGCACACGCGTATCGTGATCCTCCTATCTCCGCGGACTCTTTTCCCGCATTCTTCGGCGTAGCCGCCATCAATCCCGTCGCCGGTGATTCGCGACATTTGTGGCCGGAAATTTTCCCGCGCCACTCTCCCTACCATCTCAACGACTTCCGCGACTTCTCTGGTAAGCGCATCGTCGGCGGTTTCACTAACTGTGCTTTTCCGTCAAACTCGCTCCCCGCCATTTCTCCTTCTCGTCGGGCCGCCGCCCGTCGCCCTGCAGCTCTCATCGGGCCGCCGCCCGTCGCCCTGCAGCTTCTCGTCGGGCCGCCGCCCGTCGCCCTACAGCTTCTCGTCGGGCTGCCGCCCGTCGCCCTGCAGCGTCAACTTCAGGCCGCCGCCCGTCGCCCCGCAACGGCACTTCTATCGCCCCGCAGCTGAATAGGTGCAGCCGCGCAGCTGAGCAGCCGTGTAGCAGCGAAGCCGCGAAGCTGAGGGACAGGGGCGGGGGGGATCAGGGTTAGCAGTTAATCGATAATTCTGAAATCGGAGTTTCCTTCAAATTCTCCTTCGGAAACCCTAAACCTCAAAATTCTCTTGCGTAAACCCTAAACCTCAAGTCCTTCAAATTCTCCTTCGGAAACCCTAAACCTCAAGTTCCTATCGGTGACTTAAGAGCGGCGCTTCGCGCGAGACACAAAGGGGTTCTTCATCATGGCCTTCACCTCGTCCACTTTCGTCAACCCCATCACCCCACTCCGCCTTGAAGCCGACGGCACTAGCTTCAACTTCAAGGCATGGAGCTACGGGGTTGACAAGCACCTCCTGAGCCGTGACGTGCAAGGATTGGACCCCAAGGACGCCCTTCTCAACCGTGGCAAGGGAAAACAACCCCCTCTCCCCAGTGAACCAACCGATCCTGCAAGTGATGCTGACATGAAGGTGTACGAGGAAGCTGTTGACAAATACCGCAAATGGGAGAAGGCCGATGCTGCTATCATCAGCGTCTTCATCGGCTCCACCCCTCCCGAACTTGTCAACACTTTCCACAACTATTCCACCTCCAACGCCATTTGGAAGTATCTCCAGGATCACTTCATGAACAAGACGGCAGTCGGAGTTGCCATTCTCATCCCCAGCATGTTCCAGGTCCGCCTTGAGGATTGCTCGGGAATGGCCGACTACATTGCCAAAGTGCAGACCATTCATGACGAACTCAAGGAGCTGGGTATAGTCTTCCCCGAACAAGCTCCTGAAGCCGCCCTTCTTGTTGGCCTCACCTCGGCATACGAAGTCACGAGGAAGATGCTCCTCACATCCTCGGCGGAAGACCTCACTTTTACTAAGGTCTCCTCCGCCCTCCTCTCTGCCGAGAAAGACTCCACGGCTCAAGCCAAGGCTTACGCCCTCCGTGCTCCCGTGCCTCAAGCAGGTGTCGCCTCGGCACCCTTCCAGCGCAACCGCTTCCCTCCGTGCACCTACGTCGTCAAGTATGGTAACCGCAAGAGACAAGTGTGTGGTGGCACCAACCACCCCCTTGCTACGTGCTTCAAGAAGAAAGACGACGAATGGTACGCCATCAACAGATTCGACAAGAAGCCGCCGAACTGGATGCGCCCTCGTAAGGCCAACCTAGATGAGGTCCAGGACCCCGCTTCGGCTAGTGCTAGTATAGTGCTCCTGCTGATGTGCGATCAACTTGCTGTTCCGTGGCACTGCCATGATTAATGAAGCAAGCTCCCAATACATCGGCTCATCACAAGCACCACAATACATAGAATTCACGGTGCCACTCACACAGTGCTCAAGAAGACACTCTCCTTCAAACCCTACTCTAAACTCATTCTTCTCTTGGGAGCTGATTCAAGCTTCACCACTTGTGCCAAGGGTTCGTCCACTGTCCCATGCCCCGCATTCCCATCCGGCAATGTCACTGGCATGTGCGTGCCCTCACTACGCCACAATCTATTGGCCCAAAAGGAACTTCAGGAGGCTGGGCTCCGCACCATAATCTCGGAATACAAGGACTATTGTGACATCATTGACCCACTCACCAACAAGGTCTTAGCTCGCTTCACCCTCAACTGCAGCGGCCTCTACACGCTGAGTGTACCTATCCCACAGGTGTCAACCACCCAAGCACAGGCTGCTATCCTGCCATGCTCATGTCGCAGTTTCTCTAACCCGACCGTCCTCTACCACCATCGGCTCGGGCACCCAAACTTCCGCATGCTTGCTGACATGGCCTCCAAGAAGCTTCTTCTCGGCCTGCCAGCCTCACTTCCTCCACCACCTGACTCGCCCGCTCCCACGTGCTTTGACTGTACCAAGAGCAAGCTACGCCAACAGCCCCACCCTGCCTCACCAACCGTAGCAGCAGCCCCATTGAATCTAGTGCACATGGATGTCTGGGGCCCTGCCCCGGTTGCCGCACGAGGTGGCCATCGCTATTTCCTTTTTATAGTTGATGACCACACTCGCTACGTCTCTGTGCACCTCCTCCACACTAAGGCTGAAGCTCCAGAGGCCATCATGGCATGGATTAACCAGGCACATACCACCTTTGGCACCAAGGTCAAGCGCCTCCATTCGGATGGTGGTGGTGAATTTTGCAACACCAAACTTGAAGCCTTCTGCTCCTCTCTCGGCATTCAGCAAAACTTCACCCTTCCTGACAGCCCGCAACAGAACGGCATAGCGGAGAGCCGTAATCACACTTTGGTGCAAATCACTCGCTGTCTCCTAAGCCACTCCCACGCACCACTCTCGCTCTGGGGGTACGCCTTCTACCATGCCGCCCTCCTCTACAATCTTTATCCCCACCCGCATCTCCCCGACACCGCTCCCACCACGCTCTAACTCGGGAAAACACCCACTGCTCGCCCCCTTCGCGTCTGGGGGTGCACCGCCTATGTCCTCCTCAACCCCCAAGCTCGGCGGCGGCAAGGTGGCAACCTTGGTCCCAAAACTCAAACGTGCATCTACCTTGGGCATAACCCTGACTCCCCCGACTACCTTTTCCTCAACCCCTCCACTCAACAACTAGACCGGAGCCGCGATGTCGTCTTTGATGAGACTCGCCCCTTCTACTCCACCCCGGGGGGGACCCCCCCTCCGAACCACCCTCCCTTGTGTGGGCTGACTTTGAAGCGCCTCCTAAACTTCCGCCTGCACTAGCTCCCTCACCTCCTACCTCTCTTGCCATCGCACCATCTCCGTCTAAGGTCTCTGTTCTGACCTCTCCGGTGTCCTCAGCAGCTGCTCCTCCATCCCCCCCCTCTACCACTCTACCAACTGCGCCCTCACTACCAAGCGCACCAATCACATACCATCGGCGGTCGAACCCTCCAGCCCCACCTCCATTCCCTCCTCCACTCAGGACCCTGCTCTCCCACAACAGAGCAAACTGATCACGTACCAGCGACGGCCGATCCCTCCCCCAAGCCTCCTAAACCGTCCCCTCCAGCCACGCCTGCTCTACCCTCTTCTCCGGTGGCTCATGGCACTCGGTCGCATGGGGCTGCTCCTCCACTGGTACTTGCCATTCGATGCTCAGTGATCACTCCGACTCCTCCTGCTGGGGGGGATGTGCTCTCTACCCTTCTGGAAGACAGGCATGAGGAGTTGTGTGATCTTTACGTTGTCATTCCTCAGCTCTCGCACATCTTCCCCGATATCACTGAATCACTCTCGCTAAACTTCTCAGAGAACCCGACCATCCCTATCCCTCTCACCGTCCAAGAGGCTCTTTCGGGTCCCCATGCTGCCGAGTGGCGCGCTGCCATGGAAGCTGAGTGTGAAGCCTGCGGATATAACTCAATCAACGGGAGCTAGACTACGGGCTAGGCACGGGTGCTCGTGTGATCTCTCCGTTCGTTCCTTAGTCGTTCTCTACTTGCGCATTCACGGGGAAGATTGGCAAGAGTTTCACTAAGAAAGGTTGACAAGAATGGTACAATAAGGTTGGCAAGACAAGACTACATCAGGGCTAGCAAGCAAACAGGTCGACTACCAGCGCAGCACGGTCGACCGCGTTCAAGCACTGCTTGGTCGACCGCACTCCAGCAGTGCAAAGTCGACGGCGTGCCAATGCTGCAAGTCGACGGCGTCCAGCATTGCTCCTGCATGACAGCAACGCACCTACTTCGCAGGTGCTTGCAGGTGATTGGCGTGCCGTGCCTTGTCATCTGCACAACGCACACACCAAATCAACCTCGTGCTGACGAATGCATCTGATCAGCCACGTCGACCTCGGGATACCACCACCGAGGTCGGCCTCGCCACGAACACCTGGGTGACTGTCGCGTGCCTTCGCAGAACCTCGTCACTCAGGTAACCAGGTCGACCGGGCAACCACGTCGACCAGCTGCTCCTTCACGTGCCCGTCGACCACCCAAGTCGACCACCACTTCCAGTCGACCTCACCAGGTCAACCACACCCAAGAAGTCATTCTGTCATTGGACTTTCACCCATCATCTGCTGACCCGACTCTCTTCATTTGCCGTCACTCTGAGCCATTCTTCATCCTTGTCTACATCGCTGACTTCATCCTCGTTGCCAAGGACTCGGCCCAGATGACTTCTGTCCAGGCGGCCCTGAGCAAGGCCCTCCTGATGAAAGACCTCGGTGACCTCAAGCACTACCTGGGGATGAAGGCACTCGTGATCGCCAGGCTCGCACCATCTCACTCTCCCAGGAGTTCTACATCAACAATGTACTCAAGCGCTTTGAGATGGAGTTGTGCACACCCATGGCCACCCCGCTGCCACTTCAGCACCTCCTCACAGCTCCAGCTGTTCCCACACCAGAGGCCTGTTCCGAGCCATAACCGGAGCTTGTTGGTTCCCTCATGGACACTTCAACGATCTCCACTGGAGTGCTGCAAAGCGGGTGCTGCGCTATCTGAAGGGCACCAAGTCTCATGTACTCACACTTGGTGGTCTTTCTCCTCCTCGACTGGAAGGCTACACTGACTCCTCTTGAACTGATGACCAGACCGACCGACGCTCCTCCCATGGCTACTATTTCACCCTTGGCAGTGGAGTTGTTAGCTGGCGCTCCACCAGGTCATCTGCAGTCTCCCTCTCCTCCTATTAGGCAGAGCTTTACGTTGGCACCATGGCGGCTCAAGAGGCCCGCTGGCTCACCTTCCTCCTCCAGTAGCTTGGCTACCCCCAGCCCACCCCCACCCTCTGGTGTGACAACAAGAGTACTATCCACCTTTCCCAGGATCCTGTGTACCACACTCGCACCAAGCACATCAAACTTCGCCACTTCTTCATTCGTGACCTTGTCCAGCGTGAACGGTTGAACGCGGAGTACGTTGCATCTGACTGCAACCTGGCTGATCTGTTCACCAACCCCCTTGGGAAGGTTCCTCACCATCGTCTCCTTGGCACCATGGGGCTATGTGCCCCACCTTTTCCACCTTGAGTTCGATTAACGTCTATGGGGGGTGTTAGTGTTAGCCCTCAATCTCAAATTTTGTACTTGCGCTTTTATATCCTAGTGTAGTGTGCATTTTGTGTTTGGTTGGCTGTACACCCACATCCCAACCAAACCCAAATGTGATCTCCAAGCAATCTCCAACCCACCAATTGGAGATTGCCTTGGGATTACCCCCAATCCCCTAGAATTGCCCCCGATTCTCTCCCCATCCTTGCCTTGCCCATTTCCGATGTACTTAAAGAGCCTTGAGCTCATTACTAATGTATGGATTCTAAGCTCAAGTTCTGACAGGGAGGAGAGGGGAGTGACAGGGACAGACATGTACTTAGTAACGCACCTATACTACATACCCGCATATGACGGATTAAGTCGGGTTGCGGGTCGACTCGAGATTCCCGGGTCGAGGGCATTGCACTTATGACCCGACTGGGCCAGAAATTCGGGCCGGATCGACCCAATCCGACTTGACCATTTATGTCTACCCACGTGCTGCTGATATTGAAGGTGACTCACTTGAGATGACTCAATGGATATCAGCTGATGTTGATCTGAGCCTTGCTGGTGGGCTCAAAGAATACTCGCTACTCCAGCTGCTGCAGCTCAGAGAAAACCCGGAAGTTAACTGCCCTCCGGCCCAGAAATTCGTGTTTCCCCTTGGATTTCCTAGAGAACTCACTTGCGGCCTTCTGATGTTGATCTGCGCCTTGCTGGTGAGTTCAGAGGAGATCTTCTGTTCTGCTCTAGCTTTGAGTCAACCCAGAAGTTAACAGCTCTAGTGAACCCACCTGCGGCCTGGTGATGTTGATCTGGGACTTGCTGGTGAGCTCAGAGAAGATCCGCTGCTCCAGCTGCTGCACGAGCTCTTCATGGTACACCACGAAATCCGATATAAACAGCTCCAGGTCGGCTCTTAACGGGGACACGCACACGCAGGAGCGCGACTCGTTATAGAGCGGTGCGCTAGGGCTGTAGAGGTCGGACTGGCAGGCAAGGCCGTCGCAGAAAGCAGGGGCAGTGTATTGGGTGAGGGGCGTCGGGGGGGAGCAGACTTGCGTGTAGTCTGGATTGAATGGCTTGCACAGATCGTTGTTGAAAAGCCTGGGGGGGGGTGCGGTTTGGGGGGCAGGGGAGGGAGGGAGGGAGCAATGAATGGTATGTGAATGAGGAGGGAGGGAGGTTGTGGGGGAGCAGACTTGCGTGCAGTTTGGCATGAATGGCTTGCATTGCATAGATCATTGTTGAAAAGCCTGCAGGGGGGAGGGGGTGGAACAGAGATGGTGAAACAGTGGGAGAGAAATGGGTGATGGATGGTGGGAAGGAGCAAGCATTCGTTCCAAGGGCTCATGGCAAAAGGGCTTGCAAACGTTGATCATTGCAACGAAAACGACGACGACGACGCATACTGGAGAGAGAGAGGTTGCTCTTGGTGAGCACGGTGGGCGGCACACTAAAGAGGCCACTCACTGCAGCGTGATGTTGTTGCTCTTGGCGAGCATATCGGGCGGTATGGAGGAGAGGGAGTTGTCAAACAGGGAGAGTGACACGATGCTGGGTAGCGCTGAGAGGTCCGGCAGGGGGCCGCTGAGCTGGTTGCCTGAGAGGAAGCTGGAAGGGTGGATGAAACAGGGGAATGAGGGGGAATGATAATAATAATGGTTTGCTTGTCCCCTTTGAAAGGGAACCGGTCACACTGGGAGCCATGAGAGGGATGACTTTGAGACATGGCGGGAGGGAGGCAATGGAAAGGGGAGAAGGGCCAATGGGAAGGAAATGAGAGAATAGAGAGAATAGAGAGGCAGCATCAGCAAGACATGGACCTCTTGGAGCAGGCTTATGCTCGCTCTGCTATTGTTATGGCCCTAAATTCTTATCTTGGACATTGTTAGATAGAGCTTAATTCCACGTTCAGGCTAGGTCCAATTTCCTGTCATCATCCTAAGTTGAACACACACCCTAGGTTCAGTTGATGTTTCAACCCAGCCTGCTTGTAACCTTGTTGCACCACGATTTTACACCATACACTTTCTTTCCCGTTCACCACTCGGCTACGTCCAGACGCAGAGACGCAGGACGCCCCCCGTATTTGTTTTCGGGCTGACCGGAAAAAGAAATTGCCCCAGCGCGAAATTGACTAACGATTTCGACGCGACTGTCAATGTTGCGTCATGTCGACCCCCCCTAACCCATTTCGACCATCAAAAACACCCTAGAGGGTTTACCAAGACAATTCTCCTTCGTAAACCCTAAACCCTGAGAATCTGAAGGGGACGATTTTGCCTCAAATGTGTGCATCGTCGTTTCCCCCCCCTTCCCATACCCTATAACATCATTTTTCGGCTGCCCGGGGGTTTTTTTTGCCCTGCCCGGGCATGCGTCTTTTCATGCGTTCTAAAGGCCCTCCTCTAGCGTCTTGCGTCTAAGACGCTGCGTCTGGACGCAAGCGTCCTAGATGCAGGACGCGTCTTTCTCCACATAGCCACTCGGTTCCTCAAATTTTCCACTTTCCAAATATGCTGTTTATACCAACTATGTCATATATACCAGACATATCAGGTTGAGGTTGGCGGTTGTCCCACTCACACGGATTGCAGATTGGCAGCATCGGCGATTGCTGGAGGGAAGCTCGAGTCAAGATCGTTGTTGGCCAAATTGCTGGCGATGGAGGGAGGAAGGAGGGAAAGATGAGGGGTCATGAAAAGGGGCAGGAAGAAGGGTCTGTTGCAATAAGACTTGAGACTAACACGAAGCTAAAGGCATGGGGTGCATGGTACGGCATGGGGAGCATGGCATGGGGTGCACGGCATGGCATGGGGAGCATGGCATGGGTGCATGGCATGGGGCGCATGGTATGCGCGCGTGGCATGGGGTGCAATGCAAGGCATGGGGTGCAAGGCATGGGTGCATGCATGGGGTGCATGCATGGGGTGCAAGGCATGGGGTGCAAGGCATGGGGTGCATGCATGGGGCGCATGCATGGGGCGCATGCATGGGGCGCAAGTCGATGAACAAGGCACAGGCACTGTAGGAAACACAAAGAGAAGAGATGAACTGACAGGTTGACGAGGTTAAGGTGCTCCCAGAATAGAACACCCGGGATGGAGCCTGTGAAACTGTTGCTGCTCAGGTCGCTGGGATAGAGGGGAGAATAAGGAAGAGGAGCTTCTGAGTCGCCTCAAAAGTCATTCTCCCAGAATAGAGAGCCGGGGATGGAGCCTGTGAATGGGTATGGATGAGGAGCAACGGATGAGATGGATGGATGGATGGATGGATGGATGGATGGATGGATGGATGGATGGATGGATGGATGGATGGATGGATGGATGGATGGATGGATGGATGGATGGATGGATGGATGGATGGATGGATGGATGGATGGATGGATGGATGGATGGATGGATGGATGGATAGGTGGGTGCACTTCCAAAACAAGGCTTACAGGTTGGAGAGGTCGTAAGAGACAGGGAAGGAAGGGAGAGGCTGTTTTGGTAGAGAGCAGTTGCTGAAGAGACTGCGTGAGGATGGGAGAAACATACATGCATCCATGCACACACATGCACATGCGCCCACACACACACATGCGTGCACAAGCAGACTTGGATGTAGTCATCAGATCCACACCATGCATTGCGCACACACACATGAACATAGACACATGATGTTTACACATGGACACATGCACACTTGCAAGGGAAACACATATCCACATGCACATGCACATGCACACTTGCAGGGAAACACATATCACATGCACACGCACATGCACATGCACATCCATGTGGTCACATACACACGTGCATGCGAATAGACACACCCACGCATGCACATGCACATATGCACATTTGGGCGTAGTCACATACAATACCCACATGTACAAACATAGCAAGAATCAAATCAAGCAAGGCAAGAACTATCAGCTGCGCCATCAACCCTGCTCTGCAATAAGTCCAAGTATGAGTTGTTTAAAGAAAAAATATAGTGAACTTACTATGGGTTGTTCAAGTATGGGTTGTTAGTTTCTGAGCCGAAGAATGACTCGGGTGGAGGGGAAGGCTCTTGAGGCGCCTCAAAAAGTCGGTTCCTGAGTTGGAGAACGAACGACTTACAAGTCCTTGAGATTGGGGAAGAACCAGGTGGAGGGGAAGGGGCCGGGTATTATGTTGTTGCTCCAGTAGCTGGATGGAGAGGCAGTGAGGCGGGAGGGACGGGAGGAGGAGGGGAGGGACGGGAGGAGGGGGGAAGGGAGAGGGAAGGGAATGTATTGGGAGGGAAGAGAGGGCGAAGGGGAGGGCGTAGGAGACGAGCAGCAGCAGGTGACGAGCAGCAGCAGGTGACGAGCAGCAGCAGGTGACGAGCAGAGCAGCAGGTGACGAGCAGAGCAGCAGGTGACGAGCAGCAGCAGGTGACGAGCAGAGCAGCAGCAGGTGACGAGCAGAGCAGCAGGTGACGAGCAGCAGCAGGTGACGAGCAGCAGCAGGTGACGAGCAGAGCAGCAGGTGACGAGCAGCAGCAGGTGACGAGCAGAGCAGCAGCAGGTGACGAGCAGAGCAGCAGCAGGTGACGAGCAGAGCAGCAGCAGGTGACGAACGAGCAACACCAAGAGGTGGTACGATACGAGCACAACGTCAGACTTGTGCAATGCAAGCATTTTCAACACCAGGCGGTGAGGTACCTCACCAAGCTCAACATGGCTGCCCAGTTTGGAAACACGGCAGCGGTGGGAGGTCCGGACCGGACGGGGCCCTGTTTCCCAGTGGGCTGCTTCACAACCCTGGAGCTCCAGTGCTCTTCCCAGTGGGTTGAAACTTCAGTAGGGAAGAAACTAGATGTGACATGTAGAAACTAGATGTGACATGTAGAAACTAGATGTGACATGTAGAAACTAGATGTGACATGTAGAAACTAGATGTGACATGTAGAAACTAGATGTGACATGTAGAAACTAGATGTGACATGTAGAAACTAGATGTGACATGTAGAAACTAGATGTGACATGTAGAAACTAGATGTGACATGTAGAAACTAGATGTGACATGTAGAAACTAGATGTGACATGTAGAAACTAGATGTGACATGTAGAAACTAGATGTGACATGTAGAAACTAGATGTGACATGTAGAAACTAGATGTGACATGTAGAAACTAGATGTGACATGTAGAAACTAGATGTGACATGTAGAAACTAGATGTGACATGTAGAAACTAGATGGGACATGTAGAAACTATGTGACATGTAGAAACTAGATGCGACATGTAGAAACTAGATGTGACATGTAGAAACTAGATGCGACATGTAGAAACTAGATGTGACATGTAGAAACTAGATGTGACATGTAGAAACTAGATGCGACATGTAGAAACTAGATGCGACATGTAGAAACTAGATGTGACATGTAGAAACTAGATGTGACATGTAGAACTAGATGTGACATGTAGAAACTAGATGTGACATGTAGAAACTAGATGTGACATGTAGAAACTAGATGTGACAAGTAGAAACTAGATGTGACATGTAGAAACTAGATGTGACATTGGAAGGGACGCACCTTGTTTAGTTTGACCTTGCCTGCCTTTGGTTGTATGGCATGTAAATACAAGGACCATTTGAGAGAGAGCAAGGGGACGCAACATAGAGGTGGCGCGAGCGATCACTCTATGCACGGTGCTTGCACCTCTGTGAGCGATCGCAACATGAACGGTGCTTGCCGAATGCATACTCGGTTCCTACCAGCCTTACTAACACGATTCCTAGCCTGAGTGAAGAAACATGGTTAAAAATGAGGTGACTTTTGAGTCGACTCAAAAGTCATACTCGGTTCCTAACAGCCTTACTAACGAGATTCCTAGCCTGAGTGAAGAAACATGGTTAAAAATGCCTCCCCCGCACATACATGACAGTGAGGTTGGCGTTGTTAAAAGCGAGTGGAGTTTGAGTAAACTCAAAATGCCCGCACCGCACACACACACACATAGTGGAAAGTGAAGACACATAGTGGAACATTCCACACCGCACACACACACATAGAGGAAAGTGAAGACACATAGTGGAACATTCCCGCACTGCACACACGTACATGACAGTGAGGTTAGTGTTGTTGAAAGCAAGGGGAAAGTCATGGGTGAGACGATTGCTGTCCATCAGCCTGGCAGACAGCATAACACAGTAGCGAAAAGAGTCCAACCAATACGGGTGAACTTCTGAGGCGCCTCAAAAGCGGGTGGAAAGTCTGGGTTTTGAGGCGCCTTAAAGCGAGTGGAAAGTCACGGGTGAGATGGATGCTGTCCTGTCCATCAGCCTGGCAGGCAGTATAAGAGAGCAGCTGACAAGAGTACTACCAACATTCACCAGGTGTTGAAACCTAAGTTGCTGCCACGTATTTTCTCAATGGCACCTAACTGGTGTCCACTTCCGCTGAGATGGATTCTGTTCTGTCCATCAGCCTGGCAGGCAGTATAAGACAGCAGCTGACAAGAGTCCAACCAACACGGGTGAACAAAAGTGTTTTGAGACGTCTCAAAACAGGCAGTATAAGACAGCAGCGGACAAGAGTCCAACCAATACGGGTGAATAAAATGGAATAGCTACACTACATGTATGGCACAGCCAATTGAACGGCCTGGGCGAGTTTTATTTGAGGTTGGGACTTACAGGGTACGTTACTGAGCACGACTCACACATGCGCGCCCTCAGCACGACACGACTCACACATGCGCGCCCTCAGCTCAGCACGACTCACAGGTGCATCAGCTTCGGCAGTCGGCTGATCTCTGCTGGAACAGACGTGAAGAGGTTGTTGCTCATGTGGCTGTAGGGCGAGGGAGACGAGTGGGGAGAGAAGGGTGGAAGAGGGGAATAAGGAAAGCGAACGGAAGAGAGAGAAAAACTGGGGATGGGATAGGATAGGTGAGAGAAAATAGGGATGGGTGATTCTTACAGGTGTGCGAGCTACTTGGCACCCGAGTCGGACAATGGCAGGGGCCCTTCTATCCGGTTGTCCATGGCGTCAAGCATGTTGAGGCGCGGGAGACACAAGGGAGGGCAGCAGGGGCAGGTAACTTGATACTCACAGGTGCCCCAGCTCGTTTGCACCCTCAAACATCGGCAGAGGCCCTTCCAGCTGGTTCTCCATGACATCAAGCATGTAGAGGCTGGGGAGGGTGCCTACCTGTGCAGGAGAGGGGGGGTAATATTGATACTCACAGGTGCCTCAGCTCGTTTGCGCCCTCAAATGTCGGCAGAGGCCCTTCCAGCTGGTTGTCCATGACGTCAAGCATGTAGAGGCGGGGGAGGGTGCCGATCTGAGCGGGCAGGGAGCCCGAGAGGCGGTTCTGGTTGACCAGGAAGTATTTGAGGCTGGTGAGACGGCCGATGGTGGATGGTATGGAGCCTGATAGGCTGCACCCGTGAATGTCCCTGCGTGTCATTGATGGGGGCGTGAGATGGGGAGGAAGGAAGAGGCGCCGTGTAAAAAGTGAGTTTTTGAGACGTCTCAAGAACCCTCACAGACCGCACCCATGCATGTCCCTGCTTGTCATTGATGGGGGCGTGAGAAGGGGAGGAAGGAAGAGGCGGTTCTGGTTGACCAGGAAGTATCTGAGGCTGGTGAGGCGCCCTAGGGTGGCTGGGCTGGGATTGAGCCTGATAGGCCACACCCGTGCATGTCCCTGCTTGTTGTTTGGGGTGAGGAGTGAGAAAAGGGGGGTAGGAGAGGAAGTTCGGCCAGCCTGTGTGTTTACAACAAACAGTGTGTACGCTTGAATATTAGACGCGGTATGCTTACAATGCAGCAGAGTGTGTACAGCGCAGCAGAGTGTGTACAGCGCAGCAGAGCAGAGAGAGAGCTCACAGCGTGGTGAGCTGCAGGAGGTTCCCGAGTGCATCTGGAAAGCTGCCCGTCAGATTCGGGTTGAGCGCCAGATTGCTGATGAAGGGAGGATAGAAAAGGGGAGGGACACGGATGGGTAAGGAAAAGGAGATGCGAAGGGGAGGGAAAAAAGGAGAAGAGGGGCATGCAGTCAAACTAAGGAGAGGGCTGAGATGAGCAGATGGGAATGGCAACTCACAGCAAGCGAAGTGACGTGAGGTCGAAAATGGAAGGCGGCAAGTCTCCTGCTAGATTGGCGTCCTGAATGTCACTGAGAGGGGAGGGCGAGGGGGCAAGGGGAGGAATATGATGAGAGGGCAGGGCAAGAATATGGTTAGGAAAGAAGAGGCAGAGCCATGATTCCATAAGGCTTCTGTTAGCTTGAATTCCTGCTTGTCACCGATAGGGTTGAGAGAGGGGAGAGGAGCATGAAAACTTTGTTTCCAGCCTTCTTTATCTCCCAAAACTCACTCCTCACAAGTCCCTTTCTAGATTGGCTGCATCAGCATTGCTGCACGGTTGACGGGTCTTCTTCCATCCAAGCACAGAGCGCCACCTCATTGCCCTTCGATGCGCTCACATCTCAGCCATGGTGCTGTCTGTGTCACGCTTGATGTCCGAGTAATTCGGTGCTTGCTGCACCACATCACCACACTAGTTGTTCCCAGTCCAAGCACAGAGCACCACCTCATTGCCCTTCGATGCGCTCACACCTCAGCCACGGTGCTGTGCGGTACGGGCTGCCTGTGTCACCCTTGATGCCAGCCTATGTGCTCGCCGCACCACATCACCGCACTAGTTGTTCCCAGTCCAAACACAGAGCACAAACCCCAGTCAGCCCACTTTCCCCCACTCACATCTCAGCCACGGTGCTAGAGGGGCTGCCTGTGTCGCACTTGATGCCAGCCTATGTGCTCGCTGCACTGCACCACATCACCGCACTGGTTGTTCCCAGTCCAAGCACAGAGCAGAGCACCACCCCAGTCAGTCCACTTTCCCTATCCTGCACTCACATCTCAGCCACGGTGCTATAGGGGCTGCCTGCGTCGCATTTGATGCCAGCCCACGCACCCCTCCCCTTCCCCCCCAAGTGCCTCGCTACGGGCACAGAGCACCACCACCCCCAATCCCCCATCCTGCACTCACATCTCAGCCACGGTGTTATACGGGCTGCCTGTGTCGCACTTGATGCCAGCCCATGCACTCCCCCCATCTGCGGCACTGCATGCATGTGTCTTCCCCCGTACAAGCACAGTGCTCCATCTCATTACCCCTCACTCCACTCACATCTCAGCCACTGTACTGTATGGGCTGCCTGTGTCGCACTTGATGCCAGCCCACGCGCTCCCCGAATCTTCCCCACACGGATCATCCCCCGTCCACGCGTCGAACGGGGGGCTGCTGGGATTGCCTAGAGCAGCGAGGGTCGTCAGAATGGCCACTGGAATGTGGGTCAATGGGGGAGGGGGGGAGGGGGGGAGGGTGGGAAGGGGGGGGGGGGGAGGGGGGGGGGGGGTGGGATGGAGACCGCAGAGAAGGTACTCTTATGAGGTACCAGCCGTGTGCATGGCTTGGGTTGGGTTGGGGCGACCAAGGTGACCTAAGAGCTGCGAAGGTCCCCCGAATGGGCACTGGAAGGCGGGTGAGCGGGAGAGAAAAGCAGAGAGGTTATTCTGTGTGTTTTGTGCCTAGGGAGAGCATGGGCATGAGGCATCAACTGTGCATGTGATGCGGCTGCTTCTGAGGCGTTTCAAAAATCGCTTCAAAGAAAGCATGGGCAGGATGGGGCATCAGCCATCTATGCCGCAGGGCTGCTGGGATGGAGAGGGGGGGACGGAGGGTATCGCCTAGAGGGTGGCAAAACGCGGGTTATTTTCCCTTGGCAGTACTAGCCTGTACTTTCCTATTGTGGCAAACATTCCTTTTCCTGTCGTCGCGAATGCATCCAGTGCGGCCAATAGCTTTTGAGAAGAGGTGGATGGGGGAAGAAGGGAGAGGGGTGGGGGAGGGCAAGGGGGGGAAGGTAGGGGGAAGAGGGATGCTGATGGGGATGTTGATGCTGAGACGGCGCAGCAGAGCGGCTTACTTTTGAGGCCGCGCTCTCAGTTCAAAGGAGCTTGTGTTCAAGGGGATGCTCCCAGGTCCCTACCAGCACTAGGTATGGCTCTTGAAAGACGTAAGGCATGGGTGGTACGGTTTTTTGCGATGAATTCGTCTCTAAGAAAAGCCACAGTGTGACATCCATGCACTGACGAGATTTATCGCACCTTCATGCGATTTGACGGGAGGATTCTATTGGGGGCGAAGTGGATTCGGTTGGACACCTATCATGCGATCCAGGCGACCTCTGTCGCTCGCCAAAACAAGGTTCGGTGTCCAAACTGGGGGCCTGCCCCAACTGGACACCATCAGCGTCGGAAAAGTTGTGATGGTGGGAAAACTTGATGGTGTCCCAACTTGAAACCGCAGTCTGAATCATCGTTCTCCGACTTCCTGCACTTGACAGCCAGAAAGACTCCACTGGAGCTCGGCAAAGGTGCAGTGCTTCAACATGTGTAAAATGCGGACACATGGTCCCCCCGAGCATTGGGGTGAATGCGAATGACGATTACCGCTCCAAATATCATCCCGGATGAATGCGCTCAAACTAATTGCGACATCCTACGAGTGGTTGAAACAGGATCCAGCAGATTCGCCTTTGCCTATTCAATCATAGGATTCGGCATTCGGCAGATTCGCCGGGGCATTCGCAGGCGTAATTTCAGGGCTAGCATTCCTTCAGAAGAAACGACGTGACGACTCGAGAAACATGTCGGAACGAATCGCCTACCGTGTGCGGGATCACGGATCGATCGCACTAAGAATCCCAAGGAATCGCCTACCGTCGGAGGAACGAATCGCCTACCATGAGCGGGATCAGTCACAGCGAGAACGCTGCGACTCCGTAGCAAGGCGGCGAGCAGCGCGAGCGTTGCTAGGAGCGGTACTAACTCGCACGACGACGTTGCTCGCAGCGGCGCGTGACACCGAGATCCGACGGAACGACGAGCCATTTTCGTCCTTGCTACTGATTGAGGTGGCGCTTTGAAGAAATATTATCGCCTGGGGCACATTGTCGTGGAGTATTTGCGAGAATAACTCCGCATCAGATTCTGACATTCAAAAGCGACTTGCTAATAGTGGTTGAGACATAACTGTGTGGTGAAGCGACGTCTGCCAGCGACGTCTGTGAAATTTGCTTCACCCTGCTTCCTGGCAGTTTACCATCGGATGCGCTTCCTGCAGATTGGCTGCGTTCTGCAGGCACGACAGAGGGGAAGAGGCGGTAAATAGGAACCTTCCCCCAACTGCGTATTTTGGATCAAACGCCCGGTCAGCCCGGAAAATGGATCCGAGCCTCCCATTTACCCTCCGAACGTAAACGAAGGTAAATGGCAACAGAATAGCCATTTACCCTCGTGGATATGAGGGCGTAGGAAGCTGCCTATTTCCCCACCCCAGCTTCCTTCTCTGGCAAAATTTGCCTCCTCCCCCCCTTTCGAAAACTGCTCTTGCCCGGGATGTGAGACGGAGGGGGGAGGGAGGCGCTGGGTTAGGGAACACCACGGTTGAACCCTAGAAAGCAAACAGCCCCTCCCTTAAGTAGCCCAAACAGGGACGCGTCAACCTAGGTTAGAAAAGCACAAGCCACCAACCGAGGTTTGTGTGTTGCTGGAGGGAGTGCTTGGGCGCCATTTTTTCTACATGGTAGCCCCTTGCTAAAATTCAACCCTTTTTCTGATTTCGCGCTGTTCTCTGTACCCCACCTCTGTGCGTTGGAAATTGTGGCTGTTTTTTCGGCATTTACCTTCAGCAGCTTCGCACCCTAAACCCGAAATTTCCAACTTTCGGTTGTAGCGGGGGGGGGGGGATTCGAAGGGGAAACTGCCTCGGAACCATCGTCATTTCCCTTCGCCCCCCCACCTCCCTCCCAAGGGAGATGCCTGCAGAACGCAGCCAATGTAATTATTGGTGCCAGGTCATTGCCTGCAACAGAAATGGCGGGAAGAAGTGAAACATCTGAACCTCAACGGTCGATTGAAGTGGAACGAGTTTTCACGGTCTTCGTCCGGAAAATGAGCCGCAAACATAAATTCCAGCTGAAATTTCTACCGCGTGGTTCATTTCGGTGACAACCGTTTCAAATGGTATTGGCATACAAGAAACACTTATTTGTACCCTTGCGCCGGGCAGAAAAACAATACTCCTGGACCCCATAAAAACTGAATGAAGTGGCTTGGTTGAAAAGCAGGTGTCACAACCATTCCCACACCGTGTGAAGCTTTGCCCCATACACTTGGTAATCATTACGTCTACAGTTACTGTTCGGGCACGCTGTGGAGTCAGGAACCCTGGTCAAACTTCCCGCCTCGTATTCTCGCGTGGGCGGGAAATTCGTGTCATCGCAGGGGGTGTCGTTCGCATGGGCGGGAAACTTGTGTCATCGCAGGGGGGTCGTTCGCGCAGGCGGGAATTCAACCTCATCGCACGGGGGTCGCAACAGTCGCATGGAGTCGTAGACCCTTTCCCGCCCATTTTCTCCCACCGTGGGAGAAATTTTACAGTTGGGGTCACCCTGCTATCGAACAGGGCCTTAGTCCGACGGAATTACACGCCGCGCGCGGACTATGTGCGAAAACCTTCAAACCCCAGGCAAAACGCGATACACATAGCCCCGTTAAGGAAAATTGCATGAAGAGTGGTTTTTGTGCTACTAAATTTTTTATTTCGTATTTTACGTAGATTTGGACCGCGCTTGCTTCAACTTCTCGTCGCACGGTTCTCCGCGTTGATCAATGTCGCATGACTAACGGGCAAAACAAAACAAAATCAATTATGGTTTGGGGGTCGAATAGAAGGCAAAAACTTCTGCTTTACCCTGTAAGCGGGATAAATGACATGTCATCGTCGAGCGCGCTGGAGACCGCACGACAGGATTGAGAAGTAATCACGGTCAAGAGAAACAATTACTTACAACTTTAAAGTTAATTATCGAATAAAAAATCACGTCTTTGTCGTTTTCCCTGAATGTTGGGCTGGTTCGATCTGGAGCCTCTGATTGGCTGCGGAGCGTTTGTGCAATGATTTGGTCAAGATGCAAAATTTCCCGCCAAAAAAGGGACTATAGGGGTCGGGCCAACCCTAGGCATTATCGGAAAACTCTACTCAAGGGGGAAAGGGGACTCTTTTGGTCAGAGCCTTTAACCCGGAACACCTGTAATTGCTCGAGTGTCTTGCTGGGGATTCCCGCAGGCTTTTTTTTACCCGGCATAATACTGCGGAGATAACTTCTACAACGGGAGCTAGACTACGGGCTAGGCACGGGTGCTCGTGTGATCTCTGCGTTCGTTGGTCCTTAGTCGGTTTCCTAGTGCACACACTGCTTGCTAGTTCACGGGGCAAGTTGGCAAGAGTTTCACTAGAGAAAGTTGACAACAATGGTAAAATCAGGTTGGCAAGAAGACTACATCAGAGCTAGCATTCAGGTTGGTCAACTGCCAGCGCAGCATGGTCGACCGCGTTCCAGCACGACTTGGTCGACCGCGCTCCAGCAGTGCAAAGTCGACGGCGTGCCAACGCTGCAGGGCGACGGCGTGCCAGCGTTGCTCCCGCAGAACAGCAGCGCACCAGCTTCGCAGGTGCTCGCAGATGATTGGCGTGCTGAGCCTCGTCACCTGCACAACGCACACACCAAGTCATCCTCGTGCTGACGGCTCCACCTGATCCGCCACGTCGACCTCGGGATACCACCACCGAGGTCAGTCTCGCCAACATCGCCTGGGCGACCGTCGCACTCTTCCGCAGAACCTCGTCACCCAGGTAACCTGGTCGACCGAGCAACCACGTCGACCAGCTGCTCCTGTATGTGCCTGTCGACCTCCCAAGTCGACGGCCACCTCCAGTCGACCTCACCAGGTCGACCACACCCCTGGCCGACCAGCTCCAGGTCGACGTCACTCCTGATCGACCAGTTCCACGTCGACCAGCACAGTCGTCAGCCGACCACCCGAGTCAGCTACCCGAAGTCGGCGTCACCAAGTCGACGCCCCTTCTACGTCGGCGCCGACTCCCGGGCCGACCTCTTGAAGTCGGCGACCTCGCAAGTCGGCGACCTCCCAAGTCGGCGACCTTGCAAGTCGGCGACCTTGCAAGTCGGCGACCTTGCAAGTCGGCGACCTTGCAAGTCGGCGACCTTGCAAGTCGGCGACCTTGCAAGTCGGTGACCTTGCAAGTCGGTGACCTTGAAAGTCGGCGCCGACTTCCAGGTCGACGTGCCACATCGCCGACCACCAGTTGAAGTCGGCCGCCGGCTTCTGAAGTCGGCGGCATTGCAGTGGCCCTGTGCAAGTCGACCAACCCCGTCGACCAGCTCGCCCAAGTCGGCGTCGCCCACTGCTGCAA